ACAAAGGCCAAAATTATCTTCACGTCTGTTGTAGAGAGTAACGATGACAGTGGAACATCTGGAGCCAGGAAACTACCCAGATAGTGTTGTCGTAGGGTGGTGAACAGTGGGCACTTTAATAGAAAGTGTTCGATGTTGTCTGGTTTATACATGTTGCAAAGTTGACAGCTAGTGTTTGGAGTAAAGCGTATAGATTGTTTGTTAATTATTAGACGACAGTAAAATTTATTTACAAGTTACAAGTCTGAGTTGCGCAAATATCCTTTTAACGTTAAGAGACACTTTATAGGTCACGTGTATTTGGCTGGAGCTAGTTGCAGTGGTCTCTGGATGTTGAATTCTAGTGATCTGGAGAGTCTCGCGGATTCCAAGTCCTTGTTTAGCAGGATGCTTTTGTATTTGTCGAACACATGATTGGCTCTTGCTTCCCACAGGCGGGGGTCCATTGTTTATTTTCAATAGCTTTTTCACAATTAATTTTTTCATTAAAAGTACCGAAAATTTTTATTGTTAAAAAATTGTTGTTAAATTCAAAATTTTCAAAAACTGTTTTGAGGGATAATTTTTAGGTATGACTACTTTCGATAATTATATTTTAATAAGTTTTCTATCACCAAGTGGTAAAAGGGGGGTCCACTTGATGTGTTTTGACTCCATATCTTTAAAAACGTCAATAATTAAGAAAGTGCAGCGCAATTTAACAAAAGTTATTATTTAATAAAGCAAAATGTTCATTATTTGGAGTTCACATGTTACAGCAGTCACATAGTGACTGCAAGATTGTTAGAGCGAAATTAAACTATAAAAATTTCTTTTAAAGTAATAATATAATCTCCACAAAATTTTCCTTACTCTCACAATTATTTAAATCATAAATTACTATCGCTAAAAAAATATCAAAATCAATTTACAATAAAGATACCCGTTACAAAATTTTTCTTAGTCTATTAATTATATAAATTAATTTTTTAACATATAATCACATTCACAAGTACAAAATAAAATAAATAAATATTTATAAATTTCGATAACTTATCACAATAAATTAACTATTGCTGGTAAGCATATGAAACATAAAAAATAAACAAATTTAGATCAAGACCTTTCCGATGATACTAAATTTAATTTGAAAATCTCATTTTTTTACATAAATACGCCAGAGACAAAATTTTGCTTATTCACTTGAAACTGTAAAAAAAGCATAACACTCGTTTCAGTTCATAAATTCTTCTAAAAAATTTACAATTAATGTATTTATGTTTATTTTATCTAAACTGGTCAATGTTTAGAGCCTTTACTCTTTAATTTCTGGAGTAAATTTATATGTTTTTAATAATAAAAACAAAATCAATGAAATCTTTGAATTTTTACTATAAAAAGATGAAAAAATTTTTTTAAATATTATTTTAAATCTTATAGTAATAACTTTACGACAAAATAAAAGACGAAAAACTCTTACCCGTTCAACTACTGGTGCATACTGCATTTACCATCTCACGAAGTTTATAAATTTCAGCACAGAAAATATTTTTCTTTTATAACAATTTTGCAATTAATTGATCATAAAAATAAATTAATACCTGAGAATCGTAAAATAATATCAAAAGAAGATCATTGATATAAAACATCAACATTGGTATCTTGCATTAATAATTATATTTTAAATAATTCCAACACTCATCGATACAATAGAATTAAACTGTACAAAAGATTCGTGGCAATAAAAAGTATAAAATGCGTACGTTCATTTTGGGCTTTGAAAATCGCAGATCGGATTAGGGAATCATGACGCTGCAAGAGTTTCTTCTGATAGTTATACAGAAATTTTAAATAACGCATTTCTACATCCTTCACATGCGATCCTAGTACTACCAGGCGACCATAAGTCACAAGAGTATCTGTCGTCAGTAAAATCTCTATAATGTTTCGTATTATGTCTCATTTTCTTTACAAGATACCGATTAGAGCAAAAGAGACAACCTGCGAAGCTTTAGAGAGGTTTAGACGTATTCACGTCTGAGGTAACACACTCCTTACCACGTATGTTATCCTAATAGTATTAGGATACCATAAAAGAAAGTAAGATTAATTTTTACAACTTGTTTGATTACTTTACTCCGTTCCTGATGTCCTAATCCAATCGGAGATTTTCAGAGCCAAAATACATATGGCTGACTGACGTCTAATTTACGACAACATCGCTTATTAGTGTCATCTACGCCGACGTACTGATATCCACAGATTCGGTAGAATCTAGCGCCAAGTTCCGTTCAAATCTCCGTTGACGCCCGGGCAAAAAAAATTCTGATTCAAAATGAATTTAAGATTGAAATATTTTGACACAAATATGAATTAATTTTGAGACGAATCCAAATTTGAAATTGATTTGTAGATAGAAATGAGCATGCCAGTAGAACTTTTGATCCTGCTTCAGAATTTTAATAAAAACTTAAGAATATTTAGGATAAATTTTTTTTTAAATATTCTTAAAAAATATAATAATGATAATAATAAATAAATAATGAATAATATTCATTATTGTTATTTTTATTAAATTTTATCCAACTTCATAAATAATTCTAGGAAACTTCATATAGTTTATACAACTACATATCATTTTAAACAACTTTATATGTAATTAAGGTGATTTTATATAATTTTACACATTTTCAAACAACTTCATTTAGTTCTATATAACTTCATATCATTTTGTACAAATTTATATAATATATTATATAACACTTCATATAATTCTATATAACTTAACATCATTTTAAATAACTTAATAAAATTCTACAAGAATTTATATAATTTTATACGTCATATAATTTTGCATAAGATTTCAAATTAATTTTCCACGACTTCATATAATTTTTTACATGACTTTTGTATATGATTAATTTTAATATTGTTACCTGTTATAATTATAAAAATTTTGATATATTGGTGACATTTAAAATAATGGTTGATTTTAAATAAGTTTAAAAATGTTTTATTAGTCAGCGGAACAAGAGAAGAAATAGATGCTTTTAAAAAGAGTTTTTGATAAAACTAATCAATTTATCATAATAGTTGACGAGATACTAACTGATAGAGCATGAAATAATTGTTGTAGGGGAGTGTGGGGTCCCCCCGGTCACCTAAGAAGTGAATTTAAAAAAATATTAAAATTATCATTTTGGAATAATAAAAAAAGACTTTATTCAATTCTTTGACATCTGAAGAACTAAATGCAATTACTAAAAAATATAAGTATGAAGATAAATAAAAATATTTGAGGAATTATAGAAATAATGAGTTTGACCGGGGCGACCCAACGTGTTAGGTCACCCCGGTTATTAGGCAGGTCGCTCCGGTCAGTATTAATTTTATTTTAAAAATATGAAATTCCGAATTATATTGTTAAAATTTAATAAAAATTTAAAATTAATTTTTTTATTGAAACTTTAGCAGCAAATAACATTAAAAATTGGTAATTTTGAACATTTAAACTTTCTGTTTTTTAACTAATTTGCGTTTTTTAGGCCATACTTGATATTTATCCGTCGCACGAATGGAAGTTATTCGTTTCCTTGAATTCTTTCTAGGTTCTTCTGCTGACTTACTTGTTTGGAGTTCTTCATTAATATTATCGGACAATTTAACTGGCTTCTTTTGTGATTTTTTTTTTAATTAATTACAAAATAGTGGTTAGTTTTAAATAAACACACGAGCTGTCAAACAATAAACAATTGAATAAACTGACCGGTGTTACCCCACAGCTTTGACCGGTATGACCCCAACCGATAGTTGAAAAAATAAACTTTATTCAAAAGAAAACGATTAATAATTACAGTATAATAAAAATTCCCACTTATAAAGGAAAATTTATAGATTATATACATAAAAATTATAAATTTTTATCTTGCTGTAAACTATATTAAAAGCCTTACGGAAATGATTCCGATTCTTAGATCAAATGGGAATCAATTTTTTAATTTTTAATTATTACTAATAAATACTATATTTCTAAGTTTTGAATCTATTTTTTACTCTCAGCTGAATAAGTGTACAAAATAAAACAAAATTCAAAATTTAAGGTATAGTAGATTTTTTTAAATGTTGGTGACCGGGGCGACCCGCTGACCGGGGCGACCCCAAGCTCCCCTACATAATAGTCAAAAAATTTCTCTCTCGACATGGAGAGATTTAAACATAGCTTCCTAGACTAAAAATTTTCATTGAAAGATTCATACACTCATTCACGTCTCTATAATGGGGATAATCAAACGCGCTGTTGCCAAACCTATTTATATAATCCGGCAAGTAATAAATACGAAAGTAATTTTATTGCTTGATTTTATCAAATAAGTAAAAATCATCAATTATTAAATTGATCAAATTATTTTAAATTAAAATAAAGAATTTTGACAAATATTGAGAAGACTGAAAATAAAAAAAAATTTTAACATTATTTTGACTCATAAGTTACGCTAGAACCTCCTTAAAGAAATTAGAAATATTATGTGCTTTTAATTTTTGACAGACGTGTCTTCTTATTGTAATTTTTATTCATCAAGTACCGATTTCAATTTCGAATTTCAATGATTAAGTCTTTGAAATTGTGTGTTTCTGCTTGATTTTATAACATTCGATTTTTAATTTGTTTTATTTAAATAAAATTGATTTTATTTATTGATTTTATGCTCGAAATTTAAGAAAAGAATAAAATTTCAAATAAAATTTGTAAGCAAATTGGATCTTTTTTCTTAAAAAATGTGAATTTGAATCTTTTATGCATAAATTAATTTTCTTTCTCTTATTCAGAGAGTCTACTTTTCAATTTTATAATTCAAATTTGGCGCCTAAAAACTCCAAATTTCCCGCTGCGGAGTTTACCAACAAAAAAAAATAAAAGCAACAAAAAGCAGTAAGAGGTTAATGTCCGACAATGTACAGCAATAAAGTGATAAAATTAATAATTGTCTACTTGGTTATAGATATAACAACAGTATTTAAAGGTTATTCAAAGTATGCTCAAGGTAATAATCTCTCAAGACGTGGCAGTATGAACATCAAGACAAAAGTTTTAATAATTGGAGCCGGTGCGTCCGGAATATCAGCTGGCTGTCAGTTGATTAAAAATAATTTCAATGATTTTGTTATTTTGGAAGCAAAAAATCGGATTGGTGGCAGAATTTTTACAACTAGATTTGGTAAGTTTTTTTTTATTATTATAATTTTTAGTAACAATATTGAAATTTTTATGAAAATTAAGTTAACCGACATTTAAAAATTTTTATAATTTTTTTTATTGAAAAAATTATTACAAAAAAATTTTATTTGTAAAAAAAACTATAAGTACAATTTTTTAAAAATATTTTTTAGGTATAATTTAATAAATTAAAAAAAAAATTAAAAATTTTAATTTATAATAAATTTTTTTTAGGTGACAATGTAGTTGATTTAGGCGCACAATGGGTCCATGGAGAAAAAGATAACGCTGCTTATAAATTAGCCCATCCTCTTGGATTATTAGAATCATCAAGTAAATTAAACAACTACAGTAATCATGTTTTTGCGATGTCTGATGGTAAAATTGTCCCAGCTGAAGAAACTGCTGAAATTTGGAGATTGTATTACTTGATAAGTGATGGAATTAATGAAAAGTTGAAAGGAAATGAAGATAAATTTAATTCCTACGGAGATTATTTCATTCAAGAGTAAGTAAATTAATTTATGATACTAAAATTAGCCGAGAAAAATTTTTAATTTTTTTAATCAATCAAATTATTAGTAAACAACTGTACTTTAAAAAATTTGCATAGATAATTTTTCAAATCTTTTACATGTAAAATTCTTTCTTTCAATTTTCTTGTGATCATTTTTTCAATGAAAAAAATTTTAAGCTGTTGGCTGATTTAATTTTTATAATTAATTCTGTGACATTTAAATTAATGATACTGAAATTAGCAGACACTTAGCAATTTTTATTTTTTTTTTTTATTTATTGGATGATAATCAAAAAAAATATTTAAAAAAATTACATCTGTAGATTTTTTTTTATTTTTTAAATATGAAATTTTTTTTTTCTCATTTTTATTTTATTTATTTAATTTAAATGCCAAGGCAATGACCGAATGGCAAAAATGACATAAAGTAACAAGAAAAAACTACATATAAGAATATTAACAGATCTACATAGATAAATTAACAACGTTAGGATTATAAATTATAACTAATCGAACAATGCAAATGATTTAAAGTTTGAATAATGAAATCAACTAATTACAATTAATAATAAAAATGAGGTGGGTAAAAGTGAACAACAGTTTGTAAGTTGAATATTAAATGTCAGGCTTAAGTTTGAGTTTAAATTTAAAATTAAAACACTGCAGATAGCAGTGTTCTAGCATCAGTGTTCCAATTCTAGCATGGACTCGTCTCATCTTAGACGGATATTATGATTAATTATTCTCGGAATCTCAACAAACAACAAAATTCTAAATGGAGCAACAAAAAAGCAACAAATTTAGCGCCACAAATAAATTTTGTTGCTTGACTTATTAAAGTCAACGCATGATGGACGAGTCCATGCTCGCTTGATAGACCTCCAAAGGCCAATTTTAATGATTTGGATCATCATCAGTGATACCAGCTTTCCTTTAGCTGGAGATAAATTTTTTAGATAATATTTTTTTTAATAAAAATTCTATAAATTTTTAGATGTCGGCTAACTTAAATTTCTTCTGAAATTAGTAGATACTTAACAATTGTTTAATTTTATTTAACAAAAAAATTCGTTCCGAAAAATTATTTTTAAAAAATTTCATTTTTAATTTATTTTATTTTTTTTTTATTTATTTTATTGCATTAAACAATTACAAATTTGTTTTTAGCAAGGGGGGTATTTAGTAATTAATACAATTTAATTTACATTATTACAATAAAGATCTTTGTATAAAAAATAGATACTTTGATACAATTTGATAAAATATTAGAATTCATACAATATAATTTACATTATTACAATAAGGATCTTTGTATAAAAAGTAGATACTTTGGTACATTTTGATAAAAAAAATATTTGAAATAAAAAAAAAATATAGGTTCGGTGTTTTATTTAGTTTTTTTTATTTATTTATTGCATTAAACAATTACAAATTTGTTTTTAGCAAGGGGGGTATTTAGTAATTAATACAATTTAATTTACATTATTACAATAAAGATCTTTGTATAAAAAATAGATACTTTGATACAATTTGATAAAATATTAGAATTCATACAATATAATTTACATTATTACAATAAGGATCTTTGTATAAAAAGTAGATACTTTGGTACATTTTGATAAAAAAAATATTTGAAATAAAAAAAAAATATAGGTTCGGTGTTAAAAATGAAAAATATATAAAATTTGTATTACAAAGCTCTTAAATTAACCGAAGAGAATATCAGTTATAATGACAGAGCCCAGGCTCTGAGTTGAAGTGCCTTGGTAATGAAGTTGACAATAGCAAACAACGTTTTTTAATTTATTAAAATTTCTACATGTCAACTTTTTTTTCTCATTTTTTTTGTCATAATTTATTTATTACAAAAATTATCGGATATTTGCTGAATTAATTTTCATAAAATAAATCTAGAAAATTATTTTTAAAAAATCGAATTCATAAATTTTTTTTTGCTGTAATTTATTTGTTAAAATAACTATCAAAATTATCACATGTCTTTCAGTTTCATTAGTATATTAACTTTATATATTTTTATGTACTTATACATGTAATTTTATGCAGTAAGTATATAAATTATTATAGAAAATTTATGATACTGAAATTAACAGGCATTTAACAATTTTTTTAGATTTTTAATAACAAAGTATTTTGAAAAAAATTTTATTAAAAAAATTCCAGTTGTAGAAATAAAAAAATAATTTTTCTTTATTATAATTTATTTGTAAAAATAGCTTATTTCAGTATTATACAAATTTTTTAACACAAGCTAAAAAAATTATTGAATAATATAAATTTCAATTCATGATTACTGAAATTTACAAAAATTATTATCAAAAAATTTTTAGGGTCAACTCAGACAACAAAAATTTGTATATATAGTTATGTGTCACTATATATAGTTATGTGTTACTTTATATAGATACTTACCATTCTAATACGTCGTACTCCACATTTAAAAAATTTCACAGCAGACGGTAAAAACGGTTCATTTATAACATTGATTAAATAGGATTTGACAGATGAAAATACTTATTTAAAAATAGTTATTAAACTATTTGGCCTTCAATTTTTTCATATAACTTGGATAATATTGTTATGAATTTATTATTCAAAATAAGTTAATTTCTCAAATTTTGTGGGATTAAATGTATTAGAATGGCAGTATCGACATAATTTTATGTATTTATTAATTTATTTCTTTTTGTAAAAAATATATTAACCTGTTGGGCAAGAAAAAAATTATTTATATTATTAATTATCTAAAAAATTTGGTAATTAGGAAAAATATTACTATTTTTTTTTGTTGAATTAGTAATTAAAGAGAAATTTCTGGTAAATTTTCAGAAAAATAAGCAATTAAAGTAGTTACCAAGTTACTGTTGAGTAAAATTAAAAACTTCTTAATTTTTTACAAAAAAAAATTTATTAAAACTTCTTCAACAAGATATTTTTAGTAAATGAATCAATATCAGAATATTTAAACCACGCTTGTAGACAAGGATGTAAATCAGCTTTAATTACATCCAATAAGTTTTCATTCGGAACAATGCATCTAGTAAAATAAAGCAAATACAAATCGTTAATAATAATAAATAAATTAATTAAGACTAATTGAAAGAGAATAATTACCTGATGCGATCGTTATGACAATTATTTTTACAATACTCAAAACGCATCAACGAGTATAAATATTTGACATATTTATGGTCCAAACTATTGAACAAATTTTCTTCATCATCATTATTGGTTAAATTGTTGATATGATTAATATAACCAGTGGTTAAAATTGGAATGATATAATTAACTTGCTTGAAGCAATCGTCGATGAATTCTTCTACGCGTGAGTAAACAAATTTTTCTTGTTCTTGTAAAATCAAAACACCGATTTTAGGATTTTGCTCCCGGAATATTTGACAAATATTCCTGGATATATCTTCACCGTCTTTTGTAAATGTCAGCATTACAATACTCCCATAACTTCGTTCATTTACTTTCTTCTTTTGACTAGTGCTGTTTGTAGAGTTTAATTTCTTTATTGGTGGATTAGTCGAACAAATATTCTCACTTATCAGTGGCTTTAAAACTAATGGCACTCTGGGTAGTGTTTTAGGCCTTTGAATTCCTGGAATTAAAAATTGTATTACTAATTTTTTATGAAATTTATGAAAATTTTTCAAGAAGAAATAGAAAAATTTTCTATGATTACTAAAGTAAATGCACAAATTATTGATATTGTAAGAAACATGGCTAAAATTAATATTTTTTTCCATATTTAGAAGAAAGTTGTTGAATTTTTTGAACATTGTTTTGATTAGTCTTTTGACTAGAAAATTCATGTTTTTTGAAAGTACTTTCTCAAATTAAATTATTTATTTTAACTGACAAAGTCAATCACCCGGACACATTAATCATTGACAGCCTGACAAAATCAATTGATCTAATTAGTGACAACGTTCTGCCAATTATTGACACCCTTAATAACCCAAAGTCATTTATTTGCTGAACTTAATACAACAACCCAAGTATTAAAAATATACATTTATTTATTACTTATTATTCAAATTATTTTTAAAATAAATCTTTGGAATAAAAATAAAAAGAAAAATTTACCGCGCTGTCTAAATTTACTGTCAACATCACTCTTAAATTTCATGTACCAATTATTGACATCCATTATTGCAAAATTTATAATCATTAAGTAGATTGCAACCAATACTGTTGATTTTTCATCTTTTATTTATTTATAAAAAAAAATATAATGTAAATAGATAAAAAAAATAATTAAAAATGAGCTTTTTATTCGAGCACTTGTCTCCAAAATAGTTAAAACATTTTTTGTTCTCGTCGCAATAGATTCGAGTAAACTTTTTTTCTTTATTAATTAATATTTTATATTCTTCACGACTATTACTTTTTTTGTTAATTTTCAAAAGACCAAAAAAAATGAACAAATCAATAATAAATAATTATAAATTCTGTACCTTGACAATGAGGATCTATTGATAATTTATCAATGAAGGCATCTAGAGGGCCTATAATTCTATTGATGATATCAAAGCGTTTTATATCACAACAAGCTATCAACAATTTATCAAACGTTGACTCCAATAATTGCGCAAAAGTCAACAAAACATAATAAGTCGGGTCTTGGAGTCCCTTAAAATTATATTCAATACACAGTAACTGTTCTCTCTTCAATCCCAGCTCACTTCCAAAGTCTTGCCATCCTTTATACAGTTTGCCAGCAGGCGTCGAACTTAATAACAAGCATATTAATTGCAATAATTGTTGATCTCCGTCAAATATAAATCCAATATGAATATTGCGTGTTTTTTGCTGTAATTTAATCACCGCTGTGTCTAAATTCGGCGGCCCTGGTATTTTATCTTTTAATTTATCAACTTTTACATTCGTCCTGAAAAAAATAGATTTTTTTATTAGTATTTTCAATGTTAATATTTATTATTATTTAAAAAAGTACTTACCGTTGCAGTTCCATTTTATGGAAATTTTTAATGTTCGACAATGAATTTTAGAGGCTAAGTTATTATTTTTTTATATATAAGGAAAATATTATCGCAGTATTAAAACCGTTGTATCGCGTGTGACGTCAGTGATTGTAAATTATTGCAATAATAATAATAATAATAAACAATATTTTATTCAAGGCTGCTCATTTGAATGAATAGCGGGAATATTTAAACAATCATTTATTCTTTTCGAGTTTACTGATCAAAAAAATTGAAATTATCAAATATTTAATTTTTTTTTTTTTTTTTTTTTTTTTTTTTTTAATTTGAAATTATCAAATATTTAATTTTTTTTTTTTTTTTTTTTTTTTTTTTTTTAATTTGTTTAAAGTCGCATAAACTACTAAGGTCATGAGCGACTACGGTAGGGGGTAAACTTTTGAGATTGGAACTCGTTTGTATTTCTTGGGCTGAGCAGAATAATACATTTAAATATTAAAAATATTCATTGGTGTACGCCGGATTCGAACCCGGTCCAATGCTTCGGTAGTAAGGGCCGGATCCGATAGGCTACTGTGCGCCTTTTTAATATTTAATTTTGAAATAAATAAAATTTTAATATTAACTCGTACAAAAGAGTTAGATTCTCGCCTTGACTTCAATTCTATTAGCATCTGCGCTGATATCGTTAGGTAAATACTAAAAAAACTAAATAAAATATTATTTCTATTAACATATTTACTTACTCAGTCACTAGATGAATGAATAAAAATAAATTTATAATTAAACTAATTAATTACTTAACATTTTTAATTAGTCTACTACTTTTTTGTTTTTAATTATTATGGAATTCTTAGATAAATTTATTTGTAAATCAGCCTGCTGCAAAAGGATCTCTTAGCAATTTACTGAAAATTTTGCGAAATATTTTATTCAGAATTTTAAAAAATAACAGGAAAGTTTATAGGCAATCTTTGACGAATCTTGAAAAAAAATTTCAAAAATTCTGGGAATAAATATTTTTTAATCATCAAAAATTATAATTATCAAACAACTTTTAAATGTGATAACTAAATTCGTAAAATTTATCTTATAGTTAATTTAAGGTTTAATTGACGTTGTAACTTACGTCTGAAAATTTTTCCAAATTGGTCTCGAGTTTTTGAAATTATCAAAAATATTGACAAATAGTCACTATTGTTCGGGTTTGTCTTAAAATAACTTCCAGATGACAAATCGTATCTTAATTCCAAAAAATGAATGCGATAGCTTCGGAAATAAGCAACAATTTACACTATCAAATGTATAATCTCACTAGAGTCTAGAATTTTAATTGAGTATTCTAAAAGTAGTTTATAAAATTATATGCAGTTAAATGAATGATAATGTTGTGATTTCTTAGCATCCATGGTCGAGATGTGAAACCTTAATTTGGTGTAACGATTCAGTGGTCGATAAAAGTCTAATTAAACAGTAATTATCGGTGAATTAACGATGCAAGCATTGTTGTGTATTATTTTGATTTGATCATTACTCTGCACTTTTAAGTTTTTGGTTGTAAGATCAGTTATATAAGCACTGAAGTATGTTTTACTTAAAAATAATTTATAAAATTTCCTGTTTCCTTATTAAAATTTTCGATGTAGAGTTTTAGATTATGTTCTTTACAAAAAAGTTCTGAACTTTTGGATATTCTAATCACCTAACAACACATGAGTCTAAGGCTGTGATACATTTTATCTTAATTGATAACAAAATCTCGTATATTTACACGATTATAGAGATTGAAAGATTAAAAATTAATTAATAATTGTTGTAATATTTTTTAGATACAACAAAGTATATGAAAAAAACAAATATACCAATGAAAAAAGAGCTAAAGAGTATTTGGGATGGATGGAACGTTTCGATGACAGTATACAAGGAAGCGATACATGGTACGACGTATCAACGCATGGTATTCTTGAATACTGGATATGTGAAGGCGATTTGCTGTTGAACTGGAAGACAAGTGGATTCCAAACAATACTGCAGTTGATGATGGTAAATATATTGCGTGACAAATGCCAAAAGGGCGTATAAAAATTTTTTTTGGCAATCACTTTGCGAACATATTATAAGCTTAAAATTCAAAAAAAATTTTTGTAAGCTAAAAGGACGTATGTCCTAAATTATACGCTTTTTTTGCTTAAGGAACTTGAAAATTTCGTGATCTAAAGCCAAAAGGACATAGAAAATTTTTTTGCTAATCTTTGCAAGCATATTCCAAGCTTAAAAATGAAAAAAAAAAAAATTGGAAAAGCCGAAAGAGCGTATGTTTAAAACTGTGCGCCTTTTTGGGTTTAGGAATTTGAAAATTTAGTTATCTAAACCCAAAAGGGCTTATATATTTTTAGTGGGATCTAATTGTTTTATTAATCGATTGGGTATCTTCTTTCTTTAATTGATTTTCATACCATGAGTATTATTTTGATCTACCTTTATTTTTCGAATTTTTGTCAACGTTTTGTAATAAAACATCTATTTTTTTACGCCCTTTTGGCTTTGAGAAAATTTATCTCAAAGCCAAGAGGGCGTATAAAAATCCGCCTTTGGCTTTAGTGATACAAAAAATTTTTTTTATATTGATCTCGACGTTTTGAATAATTTTGAGTTGAATGGCAAAAAAAATTTTTTTACGCCCTTTTGGCACAAAACTCTAACTGCTGTAATCCGCCCTTTTGGCATTTGTCACACGATATTCTTGAATTCAAAATTATCAAAAATTTTATTAAACGCATATTAATAAAAAAAAAAAAAATTACAGAATGACAGTAAAGTTAACTCGGATGTGAAAATAGAAGACAAAATAAAACTATCTCAAGAAGTTGAAAACATAAATTACACGAACCCAAATGAAATAATCGTAACGACTGCTGATGGTAACAATTACACGGCATCAAATGTAATTATAACGACGTCGTTGGGTGTTTTGAAAAATTATCACAAGAAATTATTCAACCCTTCATTATCTTTAGCAAAACAACAAACTATTGAAGGATTAAACTTTGGATCGGTAAATAAAATTTTTCTCGAGTTTCCGTACCGCTGGTGGCCAGAAGACTCAGCAGGTTTTGGGTTCATTTGGCAGGATGACGATAAGAAGAAATTTTTGGCTGGCAATAAGGTAAGTTTGGTTGATTTTAAATTATTTAGAGAGTATACAATATTTTATCTATTAACTTGAGTAATATGTTTAGGAAAATGAATGGTTACTTGATGTCTTTGAATTTATGACTATTGACTACCAACCGAGGGTACTCTGCGGCTGGATAATTGGAGAAAGTTCTCGTTATATTGAAAAATTAAGCGATAAGTACGTCGAAGATCATTTATATGAATTGTTGAAGAAATTTTTGGGAAATTCTTATAATATACCACGTCCAACTAAAATTTTAAGGTACTATCAATTAAAATACCATAATAATTCTTATTTTTAAATTGGTAAGCTATTGAATACAATTAAAGATTATTTTTCTTTGAACTGATCGATGAATCAAAACTCTCAAGTAGTGATCCTGATGTAGTGTGATCCGCTGAAAATAATGTTTCTTTAATTTTGAAAACAACGTATATGATGCAATTAAAATATGTACTTGTATGATAAAAATTTTTCAGCCAGTTTAAAACAAAATAATCTTTAGTTGTATTCAATATCTTGCTATGTGTAAAGTAAACAATTGATATATACACTTGAAAAAAAAATTGGGAAAACGGTTGACCCTGACGGCCATCCCTGCAACTTCCCGCCAATTCTATACCTAAACGCTTGAAATTGCACTTATTACGTTTTAGAGCTCTTAAATACAATTTGTGTATTATTTTGAGCTCTCCGAGCTCAAAAAAATAGCTTTTGTATGCTTTTGAGCTCTTCGAGCTCAAAAGTTTGATAGAAGTTTGATAAAACACTATTTTTTTTATTTTCAAATCGCAATAACTTTTGAATGAATGAACCGATTTTCACGCGGTTGGCGGCATTCGATGCAGTTTTTTAAGCTTCATAAAAAATCTTTGAGTTTATATCGACAGAGTGGAAAAATTCGGAGTAATTCTGAAGAAACGCTTTTTTCGGTTTTCTTTCGTCAACGATAACTCACGAACGAATTAACCGATTTTGACCGGACTGGCGGCAATCGACGTGGTTTTTTGACGTTAAGAGCTGATTAGATTTTGAAATTGATCGGTAAAGCCGTTTAAAAGTTATTTCAAAAAAACGACTTTTGAAAAAATTTTTTTTTGTAGTTTTTTTACGATTTCTCAAGATCTATCAGGTGAAAACAATAACTTCCCGATTTTTGAAAATCTGAGATTTTTAGCGGGAAGTTAAAAAAAAATTATTTGATTAAGTAAAAAATTATTGATAAAGTGAATGATTAAAAATGACAAAAGGATTCCTCACGGGACGAGAAACGAGATGGTAATTAGTAATTACTAATTACTCATGTGTTGACGGCGATACATCACTGTAAAGCCGTTCAAAGCACACCCCTTAACGGTATGGAAGTTGCATTACTTCTTCCCCGATAAAGGCCCATCTCCCCGAGGCTGTTGAGTTCAATTCGTTAGAGTACTCCATTTACTCGTAATTGAAGACGTCAATCGCATCGTCGAGCCTTTACAGGTTTCCAACCATGACTTGTTGGACTGCCTTGAAAGCCCTTGTTGTCAATTCTTATATATTGAAACTACCCTATGCATAAGCACATGCGAGAAAGTTCTACTGTGGTGCCATCTGTCTTCGTCAATGGTCAATACAATAACCATTAGATTGTCTCATATTTGCTTCAGCAATTATTCACATGCTTTTAAAATTTTATTATTCAATAATGTATATTATAAAAGTAATTAATATTACTTACTTATTAGAGTACACTGTTAAAAATTTCTATTGTAATTTTACAAGAAATCCAGGTTCGATTCCTGGCTTGGTTAATTTTTCATGGATTTTTTCAAAAAGTTGCCCTTCATTCTCAGTAGCTTTCCATCGTTAATACTTAACATATAGTCGAGCAGATACTAGCATTCACCAGCTAACTAGTATTCAAGTTCGATGGTTGCCCATCGACCTAACTATCCGAAGACGAATTGTCTCAAATTGTTAGTGAAGATGGAAATTTCCATCCACTTGAAAATTAGATTTATACTAGCATGAAAATGACCGAATAGGTGATAACGGGGTTTGAAGAATTGAATAAAATCACGGTTGATAAAATCAATAAAAAGTTTACAAGAAATGTATTGGAAGCTAATAGGCAAAACATTTATTTAAAATTACAATCGGGTATAGTAAAATTACAAAACATACATAGCTCATTGAGGTTACTAATTTTACAAAGCGGTTTTGTAATTTTACAAATATTTTTAGATTAGCTAAGTTTGTAAAATTACAATACTTTCCTTGAATTTTACTTGAATTGAAATAATAAAAAAGAAAGATTTGATTTAATATCTGTTGTCATTTTATTGTTACGAAGCGCTGACTAGATTTTGTATCTCACGTAGACCTAATTTCTTCAACTCAGATGATATAAAGTGAAAATAATATTTACCCTAACTAAGAATCGAACGCGAGTCGCGCGCTTGCCAGACCGATACCTAACGCCCTACGCCGTACGACCGATAGGTCATTCAACATCTTATTATTCTTATAAGCTAATCCTATGTGGTGATTGAGCATTACGGCTTATTATTTATAATTTACATTATTTGTGTTATTTTATGCTGTTTATTGATGGAAAAGTCTAACATATACTCATTCAAATATATTGATTTCGAAATGATGGTTTGAACATAATATTAAAATTTATAAAAGATAAATGATGCCTCGAATTTATTATTACAAATAAACAACCATAGACTAAAAATTAGTAAAAATAAATATGAAGGACATAGTTGTTTTTTGATACATCAGTCTCTCTTTTGTAAAACTGAAAAGTATTGTTTTTAAAATTGAAAAACAGTCAAGTAGAATTACAATTCGTGTAATATAAATAAAATTTTCTATTTTCTGGTAACATTACATTGCACTGTATAATTTTACAATGAAAATTGTAAAAAAAAAGCTTTTTAAATTTTTTATGAAATTATTGTAATATAAATTACAATATTTTTTAATGATTTTACATACAACTATGCCGAATCAAATTACAAATAATGTTTGCAAAATTAAAAAGCTTTTTCTTGAAAATTGACCAACAGTTCTGTAATATTACAATGCGTATTAGGTTTATACAAGAAGATTGTAAAATTACAATACATCTTAGTAGATTTCCTAACAGGTGTTGGAAAATTACATGAATTGTATTTTATTTAGCATTGCTATACACTGATTTGTAATTTTACATATCATTTGTTTTGTAATATGATTGTAATTTTACAAAAATTTTTAACAGTGTAAGTAATAATGTATATTATATTGAAAGATTTTTTGATCTACTTAAAAAATTTCGTAAACATTTATTTTTGACTTTTCGATAAATTTTTGTATAATAACAAACAAGGCTAAAATAAAACACAATAAACATTGATTACGAAATCTTTTTGACATTGATGCCAGACGGGATGATTTTGTCATTGAAAAAGGTTCAGCAAAACTTAGTATTCTTCGTAAACTTGAACCAATTTTAATATGTTACATTATGAAAATAGAGATATTGAAAATTTGGTCCTGGATGACGATGTAACAATTGTAAATGTTTCTACAATTTTTTTGTTGTATTTTGTAAGTAGAAATTTTATAAGCGTTATGAGCTTGTACATGGCAAGAAGTTCCAAAGATGGCCTGCAGGGTTAATCGTTTTTCAGATATTTTTTTTTTGTATATATAAATTCAATATCTATCTCATGTCTAATATTTTTGTTTCGTTAATTTAGTTTTTCGTAAAATTATCAAACAGTCAAAAATTTAGTTGTGAAATTAAATTGTAAGCAGCTAAACTCTAGCATGGCTTTCGAATAAATGATTTAGAAGTCTCTGGAAATTGAAAATAATGATCTTGAGAGTGAGAAATTGAAATTGTATAATCTTCTTTCCGACCGCAAGAATGATTCTGTAGAACAATTCGATTACAAAACACAAGACTCCAGAGAATAATCCAAAAGCTAGAAATATAAATGCAAAACAGATATCTTCAAATTCAATAGGCCGATAATAATTTTCGGCTCGGTCTTGAATTATTTCGAATTTTCTTCTAATCGGTTGATTTTTATTTTCGTGCCAATGACTTAAAATATGAGATTCTGTCCACCTCATTACGACTTTATTCACTCGCTCTCGCAAGCCCCAATTTCCTTGCATCGCTAGTACAGAGAAAGTCAAATTTAAGATATGACTTTGATTTGTGGAGATTGTATTTGAGTATTAACGGATTTAATTTTTCTTCATAATCAAAGCTACGCGATTGTCACCGATTAATGAGTCAGTTCTTAAAAAAGTCATCCCAATAAATTTATCAATCAATAATTTATCTTCGATAAAGTCCGAGTCATAAAGTCTCCGTGGCAAAAAAATGTATTGGTAATGAGGATCTTTTAGGTCGTCAAGAGTTTCGACATTTCTTCGGTGCACAGGTTTAGTCAAGAATGTCGCAAGATGCCCGGAAAACGTCGCTTGTATGATTAAGAAGTAAAGAAAAATGACGGAGAAGAATACACGCATATTGTCATTATTTATTCGTGTGTTGAGATTGTAGCCGATGATTAATCTCAGACATTCTAACAGCGCGAAGGAAATTCTATGATTGTTTGACTGATAAATCACCAAAAATGTCACTGATAAGATAATGATGGTAGCGATAATAGTCACCCAACCGTAGAACTCAAACATTTTTTCCAAAGGGCTCATTAGACCTCGGTTCGAAGTCACAATTACATCGTGAAAATACTGAATTGGGTATGATATACAGACATCATCAAAATCTCCATTGAATGCGGACTGAGGAAGAGGTTGCAGAATCAAATGATGTTCGAGTAAATCGAATTGGTTCATAATTACAATATTTTCATCCCTAAGTGATCGTGAAAATTTAATAGTTATATTTAGTGAAATATTCAGAGATTCCATGAGCCATAGGCTGTAATTTCCGCACTCTTCATCCAACAGCTTAACTATTTCGTTTGTGGGAGTGTTTTTAGTTATCAATCGATTCACTGATTCTTCTGGTATTACACCGAAGTTATCGGTATCCTTCACCAGAAAAACATATCCAACGTTTATGGTGTAGCCGAAAAGATGTTGGGTTCAGTCGAAGAAGATATTTTTGCAGAACTCGAGATCTGTATCAAATAATATTTTCAGTACGAATATTTTCGAGCTAAATGTTCATAACTTACCTGTTGTACTATCAGAGCTAGTATACAGTGTTTTATAAATTCTCACATGTAAGTCCCAAAGAATAAAATCAAAATAAAGATCTTGAACCTTTACCCAATTTGCTGGTGCAAAATCTGCATGAGAGTTTGCAGTTAAAATTTCAATTTTTCCTTCATTAGTTACATAGCAATAATAAAATACTGTATTTTGCATGGTGTAGTCTTCGCCTCCAATAATAGGAAATAAGCCAGTTAAATTGTTTTTCAAATAATATCCACTTCTATCAAATACAAACAAAATTATCAATTTGCGCCGATTGCCTTCTTCTCTTGTTTCTATGAACGGAATACTGTGGAACAAGTCGTCAATAAAAATCACGAAAGATTTGATATTTGGAAATGGAATTTTATATCGCCAGCTGTCATTACTCAGAACAACATCCATCTCACCATCTTTGAGAAAACTTGGTTGATTACCCCATATTCCGATCGTTCCAAACTCTTTTCGGCAGTTATTAAATAAGTATCTCTAGGATCAAGTAAAGGAGTCAATTAAATATTAGCCAATTATCAATTATTTTAAATATTTACCATCATGTTGTTGAACAAAGTCACATCATTATCATCATCATCATGAGGCGGAAGTAGGATTTTACCTATCACAAAGTTCTGAATTAACATCAAAATAATTAATTTCGACATTTTTATAAATTATCTGTGTACTAATGCAATCAGTAGCTTACTGGTTTTAACTACGTTTTCATTTTTTTCCATAAAGAATTGATAGTATGTTTGATAAACCACCCTAAGACGTTTTTGAATTACTCATTATGTCATTACTTATGATCAAGTTAAAGATGACGATCCAATACTTGCTGATTTGATTAAACAAATTTTATTGAATTAGTAAGGGCTGACTGTCACAGTTATCTTGTATTCTGATCAAAAAGCACTAGAGAGTTTCAGTTCTGATATTTTGACGGGTCACCTCATCTAAAATTCATTGAGCTGAGTGTGTTAATGTTTGGTAATCAATCACATTCTAGACAAATATTCTTTAATGTCAAAACTATCCTAGAGAATTCCTATAGATTAAACCTGTGAAATTGTGTGTATTCGCCTGACTTTATCTTTTACTCTTTCATTCGAATTTTCGAAGGTAAAAGAAAAGATAGTGGGGCACCAATCATTTTTTTGTTAGTTTTATAAATTAACTATGAAAAAATAAAATATCTTTCAGGTCGCAATGGTCAACGGATAAACATATACACGGTTGTTATTCATTCCGTAGTTTAAAATCGGAAGAATTAAACGCTACTGCTAGTAAATTAGCAGAACCTATTCTTGCGAAGAATGGAAACCCTGTAAGAATAATTTTAATATAAAAATCTTAAAATACTATATTTATTTTATTTTTATATTTATACTTCTTTTTATGTCTAAGATAATCATGTTTGCCGGAGAAGCAACACATGATCACTACTACTCAACAGTTCACGGTGCAATTGAAGCTGGGGAACGTGAAGCTAAGCGTTTGATCAATTTTTACCGGTATGTAACTATTAAAAAATTTAAGCAGACAATTTTTCACTGAAATTTATTATTATCTTTTTATTTGTTTTAGGCAAACGACTTCACGCTTGTAGAAATTTGTTTCTTCCATTTATGAGTACATAATCAAATATGTAAAAAAAAAATTATTTTAATATTTCATAATAGAATTATATATTTTATATACTAAAAATTATTAATCTTTTTATGTCTTTTGTCTACAATGTTTGAAAAATAATTATTGTCTTAGTAATTTTTTCAGTATTTTAAGAACAAATATTTTATTTTTAATGTCAATAAAAATAGTGTTTTTTATTCATTACAATTTGAGATTATAAACTTCGTTTAAATGTTTTTATAGCGATTTTTTCACACTTAATTTCTTTAAGGTAGTTCGGCCCTTTAAGCAAAAATTCAAGAAATCTCCCAAACTCCGTATAGAAGTAGTTAAATACATAATACACACGCTGTTAAAATTTAGAGACGATTGACCACGTCTAACCGAAGATAATTGCAATTGAAAATGACATTTTAACATAGGCGGTATGGGAAAAGAGAGAGAAAACCGCGAGTTTTATTATTTTTTTATTGAAGAAATTTTAAGAATTTCACCAAAAACTAACATTACTTAGATTAATACATGTATAATTACCCTACAAAATTCTGGAATTTCCTACCACATAGTTTTTGGGAAATCATTGATAAACTAGTAAAGTAAACAAATAAAGTCATGCGTGGAAGTAAGTGAGCAATAGCCCGTAAGAGAGGCAACACTAGCGCGTGACGAAGACAGCAGTAGCATAAACTATAGGTTGGGAAAGAACTACCTTAAGTCTCAAAAACTATTTTTTTATAATGTAAGAAAAATAAATGTATTAAAAAAAATATTTCTAGTTTGTTTTGTAAAATATTTTAATTAGTTAAATAATCTCTTTAGAATAGAAAATTTCATAATAAAATAGTAAGTTATAGGTAAAAAAAAATTAGGAAAACGGTTGGCCCTAACGGCCATCCTTGCAACTTCCCGCTCATTTCATACTTAAGCGCTCAAAATTGCACTTATTACGCTTTTGAGCTCTCCGAGCTCAAAAATCTGCCAGAAGTTTAATAAAACACTATTTTTTGAATTGTCAAACCTCAATAACTTTTGAATGAATCAACCGATTTTTACGTGGTTGGTGGCATTCGACGATGTTTTTAAAGTCTCATGAAGAGTATCAGGCGTTATTATCCCCGGACAAAATATCCTGGTAAAAATTATATCCGGACAAAATATCCCCTATGACAAAAAAAACCCCGACAAGTTATCCTTTGAATTCGTTATAGTTTTCGCAAATTTGAATAAAAAAATTATTTAAGGGCACAACACGGTAAAAAGCGTATGTGATATGATCTAATATTGAATTAACACACACAAAAACTGAGTAAACACACATTTAAACCATGTTAAAACGGCGCAACACGATTACCCGCTTTAGTGTTGGTCTAATATCGAATAAACACACACAAAAACCATGTTGAAAAATAATAAAAAAATTAAAAATAATAATAAAAGTCAGTGATAACTACTATTTTTAAAATCAAAGACTGATTAAAAATAAATATTCATTATAAATGATTAACTTGTTTTTTATTTCTTTTTTGCCCTCCGGGCGGAAAGTGGCAACTTTCGTCCCGCTGCACTAAACAAAGTTGCCGCTTTCCGCCTTCGTCGGACAAAAAAATAGTATACACTCCACGGGAAGTAAATAAGAAAGCCTCAGATCACATGTTTGTTGACCTCGGCTTCGCCTCGGCCATGTGATCTGAGACATTTCTTACTTTACTTCCCTAGGTGTGTAATATACTATTAAATCAAATCCTCTATCTTTTTTATTGTCAAACAATCATGTTAGTTCCTGATAATTCATATTTTCAGGAACTAAATATACATATTTACATGATTAAATAAAACTGTTACATTTATGTATTTGCCATTAGGCTTATTGCCTTGGCATATAAATTAAATAAATAAAAAAAATAAAAAATTTTATCGTGGATATTTTGTCCGGGGATGAAAACACATGGAACCTCATGAAGAACCTTTAAGTTTGAATTGATCGAATTAGGAATTTCGAAGTAATTATAAATAATGGTCTGGCGGCAATCGACTTGGTTTTTTGATGTTAAGAGCTGATTAGTTTTTGGAATCAATCGGTAAAGCCGTTAAAAAGTTATTCTAAAAAAACGACATTTGAAAAAAATTTTTTTTGCAGTTTTTTTGAGATTTCTTAAACTTACTCGTTCAAATCGGTCCGAATTATAGTCAAAATCTAAGTTTGGTCAAGCTTCCCAGAACCTCAAGATATCAACATCCGTTGAAAACTCGATTTTCGAAAAACGGAGTAAAACCAATAACTTCCCAACTTTTTAAAATTGTCAATTTTCTTAGCGGGAAATTAAAAGATTTTTTTTTTTTTATTTCATTCGTAAAAAATTTGAAAAATTGTAAGTGCAATTTAAAAAAAATGTATTATAGTTCTAATTTAATAAGTTAAACAAAATCAGAAAATAAAAAATCGTCAGCTAACTTTATTATTATAAAATTGTATCATCTTGAATCTTGTAAAAAAGAAGAATTTATCAACAATTTATGAATTTATTAATATTAATTAATATGTTTTAAAACATTTATTCTAAAGCTAAATAATTTTTTTCAATTATTAATGTAGATTTTTTTAATAAATATTAATAATAAATTGCTGCAAGCAATTTTAATATTGTTTTCTATCAGGAAGTTATTCTAACCTGAAAAAAGCACGTGTTATTAAAAAAAATATTTTTTTATTTTTCAAAGAAAATGATTGTTGAAGATAAATTATTGAAAAATAGAAATATTTTTTCATCTTCAGAAAATTGATAAAAAATTATTTTATAAATTTTCTGTAACTTAATAGCTATGATTATAATGTTGTTATTAAATTTTCCATAGGCGGCGCTTCGATCAGTTTTGTAGAACCAATAGGCAGACAGACCAATAGACCAATAGACAGAAAGAAAAGTCTCCCCACTCAATTTCGCTAGTTCCGACAAAGCAGCCTATATAAAGGCAACCTGGCTTCGATGTTGGCCGAAATATCTAATGAGTTTTTTTTTAATTTTTTACTCAAAATCAAATACATAAACCTCTAAAAACGCTAATACTTAAAATAACACTTAAAATCCATTAATTTATAGTATAAATTACACTTTGTAATGGGAATACTTATATGAACAATATATAAACCTTAACATTGTAAAACCATTGTAAAGAATTGAAATATCAATAAAGAGAATTTTCAAATGCAAAAAAAATGATGTTGGCCGAGCGGTTCAATGCGTTGGTCCGTTCGTACAATTCATGTGGCAAGGCGCGGGTTCGATCCCCGGCGAGTCGAAAGATTTTTCACATTTTCACATGCTGATATCTTTCGATTCCTTGAGGTTCGCTCCAGCGCCGCCTAGGTTTAAGGCAAGTACTTAACCAACATAAACTACCCACCTCATAACACCCAACGGCCGTATGAGAAAAAAATACTCGGTGCCAATGAAAAACATAAAACATAAAACATAAAGGCAACCTTAACGTGGCTCGGTCATTTTGTTTGAAGTTACTTCTCAAAGTGATCACAGCGAAATTTAACCTCTCATTAAATAAACCTCAATAAATTTTTGTTATAAAATATACATATCAATACATTGTGATTTATTTATTACGTCTTCAATATCAAATTAAATAATACTTCCTTTCAAATATTTTTAATCCAAAACTATTAAAATATTTAAAGTCCTACGTGGTAATTTTTTTATATTTATCTGAAGTTTGTAATCGAAGTATTTTTTCAGATCGTTAAGATGGCTTCATCAAGGAAAGTGATGTCAAACAAGGGGATGCGTGTTTGTATGGAAGTAATGGTGGAATTACTGTCAAAGAAGAACGAAGAAGTAGTATGGCCATTCTATACACGCTTCGACGCAGAAATTATGAATCCAGAATCCAAGCGGCCCATGAACTTGAAGACAGTCTGGAGTAAATTAAACGCCGGGGAATATTCGGAGGTAGATGAATTCGTGGAGGACATACGATTCATTATTTCTTCGGCGTTTAAACTCGCTACAATTACTCCCAAAAAATCCATTTGGAGAACATGGACCAAGGAATTCCAGCGATTATTTGACAGTTTACATGCCAAGAAGATCCACGATGAAGATTTATCGGATCCTGAACATCCTGAACATCACAAGAAGAGCAACAAGATAAAAAGAAAGAGAAGTACGGATTCCGATAAGGAAAATGATAAACGGCCAAGAAAGAAGGCAAAAAATTCATTTAGATAAGAATTTTTAAGTTAATATGATATTTATCTAATTAATGAAAATTTAGTTATAAATAGAATAATTTTATTGTATATTTTTAGTTGTATTAGTTTATGTATTTTTTATTATAATAACTTTTTTTTTTTAGGATACTTTATTAATTAATTTCTTTTTATTTCAGGAAATTTTTTTTTCAGCTTAACAGAACACGGTGTTCTACATATTTTTAAACACGCCAGCAGAAATTTCTGACTGCCAGTCCTAAGCCTGGAAAAAGTGTGAAGGCCTTCACTGGTCAGGTGTCCAGAGCCCATAAAGTTAAAGATCCAAAAGAAATAAAACCCCTGAATATCACCGCAAAAAATGCTATAATTGGTGAGTGGCTCATAACATTTTGTTATATATTTAATTTGGATAGCTTTGACATCTATTACTCATACTATTTAGGAATATCTCTTAGATATTTCCTAACATTTATTTTATCTTCGATTTTCTTCCTAGATATTTCATTTATCTCAAATAATAGTTTGAAATTTATATGTTTTCATAGAATTTGCTCTTAAAGTAGCTCAAGATAAGAACTGGAAAAATAAAAAGGGCGTTGCAACAACTAGAGAAGAATTGCAACATGTGATGACACAACGTCTAGGAGAACTGAAGAGGAGCGCTGAGCTCAATAAAAAGAAAAATGACTCAACAGAACCCTCTCTATGAAGTGTCATCACACATGTTCTATTTAATTTTTATATTTATCGGTTTTTGATTTTAAAAATAATAATTATTACGGTAGTATATTTGGATAACTTTAAGTTCTCACTTTAAATTTAATTTAAACCGTGTTTAAACACAAAAATGTATGCAATAATTAATCTTAGTAATGTCAGTATTGTATAAAAATTAAATCATTTGATTAACTAATAAGTTATTATTAAGATAAGAGATGATGGAAACCAAGAACTGATTAATCATAATGTTTACTAATAATATTTGAGATTTTTATTACATAACTTAAGTATAGTTATTGCTACTACCAAATTTTAATAAAGTACTATCAAAAATTATAATAATAATAATAATGACTTGAAGTTAAATTTTATTTTTTACAATTGAATTTTTATATAATCATATATAAGTATATATAATATTATATAATTATATATGAAAATTGACCAAATAAAATTATATATGATTATATATAATCATATATGATCAATTTATATATAAATATATATAATTATATATAAACATTTTTTCTCGGGGGGAAATATGCGAGAACATGGTTTATTTAATTACAATTGATTCAAACGAGGGAAACATCGACTTCAATTAAGACTACAAAGGTCATCGAAAAAATTTACCAGAGCAAGAAGCAAATTATATCCTAGCTCCAATAAAATAAAAAAAAAAATTTTACTTACTCGAATTAATTAAACTACCATTTAATTAGTTGATAAACTATAAAACCAACGTTTTGGAGGAGCTCTCTTCAGTGTTCACCCGTTTTTTATTCATACAAAAAATATAAAAAAAAATAAATTTAGATATTTTTTGTATTATTCAAGAGCGTATTTGTTGAGCTACATAAATTTTATATTAATATCAAAATATAATTCTATTAAATTTTATATAATTTAATTAATCGATCAGCTTCTCTCCACCCTGAATGAATAGCTCCATGTACAGTTGAAAAGTGTTCATCTGTAGCTTCTCCAGCGAATAAAACCACCTAAAACGTAAATTTATTTAACATAACATTCAGATAGATAATTTATCTTAATCACTCACCGGTTTGTCATTTTTCATTATCGGTTCAGCTAGATCTTTATTCTGTGCGTTTTTCAAATCTGAAGTTATACTTCGATAACTATACGTTCCACGGAAGTTATCATTTGTGTTCCACATTGATCTAAGAAATTTTGTTAAACATGATTAAGGAGGTTCGAACGAATCTAATGTAAAAAATAATGTCCTACTCGGCTCTACGTCATAGAATCCATGGTCATTATATCCGCGACATTATCATCATCATCATCACCATCATCATCACCATCATCATCATCATCAACAACATCGTCAACATCATCATCGTCATTATCATCATCATCATCATCATCATCATCATCATCATCATCATCATCACAACCATCATCATCACAACCATCATCATCATCATTCATATGTAACGTCATTAATTTTTCAACTGGAGGGCTTCGCCCCCCCCCCCCCACAGGGGCTTTGCCCCTGGACCCCGTCTAATTTTTTTTCCTGTCCTTACGACTATAACATTGTGGAGATAATGGCACGAAAATATTATGGCATGGATATAACGCCAAGGATTTTATGTCGCGCGGATATAATGGCCTCGGATTGTACGTCATGTTACCGTCTTAATCTGAGCTATCAAATTAAGTATACGTATAAATAAATACGTCATTTATCTAATTACAAAATTAAAAAAAAATCACCGTTTAGTTATTCAGATATTAAATTTCAAAAATTACATTTTTTATACCCTTATACACGGGCTCTTATGGCGGACAAACTTTAGTCGAGACTTTAATTATTTTTTTCAATATTAACCTCCCAACTTTAACGGATAAAAAACTATACACAAGAAATTTGGATTATTGTAAAATATAAAAAAAATTTAATAATAATACATTAGCGATATAATTTTTGAAATATTTAAAGTTAAATTTTATGTTTTTAACTCGTTTATCGTCAGCTATTCATTCGAATAAAGATTTGGCAACGTCGCGTCAACCGCTGAGAAGAAAGAAAAGGATAGAAATATAGTTACAGAGAGAGAAATATTTAACTCACACACTCATGCACGTCTCTATGATGGGTATAATCAAACGCTCTGTTGCCAAATCTGTTTATTTAATCCGGCAAGTTATAAATCCGTAAGTCATATTATTACTTTATTTTATTAAATACGTAAAAATCATCAATTATTAAATTGTTCAAATTATTTTAAATTGAAATAAAGAATTTTGACAAATATTGAGAAGACTGAAAATAAGAAAAAAATTTAAACATTATTTTGACTCATAAGTTACGCTCGAATCTCCTGAATGAATTATTTGCTAACTTACAACAAGCGAAATTATTGAGTACCTCTTTATAATAGAAGGCTGCGTTAAATTGTACGACTTTCCGAAAAATTGATTAACAAAATGCAGTGTTTTGTTATTGAATTCTTCTTCTGATACTTGTTCCATTTCTGTTACATATGGGCCTGTCATCCACAGACATAAAACTTTTGGTTTATGCTCAACTTCCACTGCCGTGTAATATCCTAACAACCATCTTTTCGCCGGCTGAAATTACACTCTATTGATAATTACAAATTAAACTAATTTTTCATTTTTTTTAATACTTAGAAAAGAATATTTAAATTTACATCAGCCTCCATTTGTTTCCTTTCTTCATCACTCCAAAGTATAAATTTTACAAAAATTTCATCATGCCACCATGGATCTTCGTAGTACAGATAAATTTTTGCTACATGTCCCATTTCAAGATTCTATTTTCAACAATAAAAAAAAGAATAATAATTCAAAAGCTATGAAATAATTGAAAACTTGTGAATTATGAAAATAATAAAAAAGTAATTTTTGAAGATTATTAATCATTAAAATTTTATTGTTTTAACGTAACCGAACTGTTGATTCTGTTCTTGATCTGCTATTTATTTATTTATTTAATAAATATTTATTGAAATTTCTTAGACTATTTTTAAATTTACATATTACAAAAAAGTGCATTCTCTAAATTAGAAAAAAAAATTAGGAAAACGGTTGACCCTCAAGGCCATCTCTGCAACTTCCCGCTAATTCCATACCTAGGCGCTTAAAATTGCACTTAAGACGTTTTTGAGCTCTTCGAGCTCAAAAATACAGTTTATGTGTTATTTTGAGCTCTCCGAGCTCAAAGAGATAACTATTCTGTACTTTTGAGCTCTTCAAGCCCAAAAACCTGACAGAAGTTCCATAGAACACTATTTTCTGAATTTTCAAACCGCTATCACTTTTGAATGAATGAACCGATTTTCACGCGGTTGGCGGCATTCGACGCAGTTTTTCAAGCCTCACAAAAAATCTTCAAGTTTGAATTAATCAATATAGGAATTTAGGAGTGATTCCGAAAAACACTTTTGCACGCCTCATAGCGTAAAGCGCTTGAGGTTGTGTTTTATACTCGACTCGTCAAGGTCAAGCAATTTTGTGATCTTCAAATGCCTCTATCACAACCAAATTACACTTATACAATAATATAAGTAGATGTACGCCGAAAAAACACTTAAATTAAACCATCTTTTACTCTCTAAAATCATTTCATGTTGCTATTTTGAAAAAAATTTTACGTGGACATCCGTATGTCACCCCATTTTGGATGTACCAACGATTACTATCTTCATAAAAATGCATAAAATTCGAAAAAACAAGTCCTGAATCTAACAGTTAATGTGTTTCAAAAGAGAACTGTTGACAACCGAAATACTGTTGTTTAATTATATCTAAGATTTATTAATTTTCTAGTCATATTAAAATAGATAATTTTTTGTTCCTCTTCATGAAAAAAAAACCTCATATTTAGCAATTAAGATCATCTATGACGTAAACAAGATTATATTTGACCATTAACTAAGTTAGTTCGAGTGAACACACTTAATTTCACAGGTGCAATCACCGAAATTTGAATTTAAAAATGGTACTTGATGGATAAAAATTATACTTGAAAATTATAATATGAAGATACGTCTCTCAAATATTGAAAAAAACAAATAATATTTCCGATTTCTTTAATAATTTTCAATAGGTTGTATTTTGTATAAAATGACCGATATATATTGTTTACGTAAATAAATATACATTATTAATTAATATAATTTTAGAAGCATGTGATTAATTGCTTAATCAAACATTGTGCAATCTAATGGTTATTGTATTGACCATTAACGAAGACAGATGGCGCCACGCTCGAGCTTTCTCGCATGTGGTTATGCATATAATAGTTTCAATATATACGAACTAATAACGGAGGCTCTCAAGGCGGTCCAACAAGTCATGATTGGAAACCTGTAAAGGCTCGACGATGTGATTGACGTCTTCAATTACGAGTAAATGAAGTACTCTAATGAATTGAACTCAACAGCCTCGGGGAGATGGGCCTTTACCGGGGAAGAAGTAAGGCATCTTCCATACCGTTAAGGGGTGTGCTTTGAATGGCTTTACAGTGATGTATCGCCGTCAACACATGAGTAATTACCATCTCGTTCCTCGTCCCGTGAGGAATCCTTTTGTCGTTTTTAATCATTCAATTAATCATTAACTTTTTTCTTAATCAACTAATTTTTTTTTCTTCAATGTATTGATTGACGCTCTAACTTTGGAGCTAACAGCTTAACCTGCTCATAAAATTAGTTTGATTCATTAATATTGAAAATTTCATAGAGATAAAATTCAAAATTGAATAATAAATTAAAGTAATGCAATTACACGGAAAAAAATAATCGTACCGATTATTTTTCGGTAGCAGCTACCGATTTTTTCGGTAGAGTCTACCGATTTTTTCGGTGCAAGCTACCGATTTATTCGGTGCAGGCTAGCGATTACTAATTTTTGAAAATTTCTTATCTTCTTAACGAGAAGTTAAATTCGCACTTCTAAATAAATAAAAAAAAAAGGAACTTCATTTGAGATACAAATAACGCTTACTCAAATACAAAATATTAAGAATGAAGAGTATTTATTATTAGATATTTTCGATCATAAATTTTTATTAAATTAAATAAATGAAAGGTCTCTCATGTCGGGTGAATTTATATCTTTAAAAATGTCAATAGTTTACAAGATACAAGGTATTTTCTTTATTATTGATATTTTTAAAGATGTAAGCTCATCCTGATGTCACACTCATCAAGAGCTTTCATTTGAGTACCCACATGCATTTTGGATATATTTTTGATATATACATATATATAATATATATAAATATATGAAAAATTGATGTGGGTACTCAAATAAAAGGTCTCAATGAGTTTAATATCGGGATGAACTTATATCTTTAAAAAAATCAATAGTTAACGGTTTGCTGATTTTTGGGCCTCAGACAATTCATCTGCGACAATTCATCCCCGACAAATCATCCTCACGACAATTAATCCCCGCGACAATTGATACAATAACAATACATACTCGACAATTCATCCTTATTACATTAAATACGGTTTTAGTTTATAAGATAAATAATGAACAAGTATTTACCACAATTAAATCTCTAAATATATATATATTTAAACGAACACACTAGACCAACACAAACACGGATAATCGTGTTGCGCCCTTTTAACATGGTTTTTTGTGTGTATTTATTTGAAATTTGACCATCGCAAACGCGGATAATCGTGTTGCGCCCTTTTATCATGATTTTTTGTGTGTATTTAAGTATAAATTTATAAAGGAAATCATTTCTAATATTACAAATAATAAACAAATAAGCAAAAAGCGAATAATTCATATTGGGCCCAATAATCAATAGTCTGATTTGTCGTTGGGATGAATTGTCAGAGTATGAATTGTCGAAGGGATGAGTTGTCGGGGATGAATTGTCTGAGGCCCAAAACGCGTCACACCATAGTTAACAAGATAAAAGGTCATTTCTTAATTATGTGTCTAGAAATGGAGCATTTTTGAATGCAGCCTAAATACTTATCATGATAAATTTAATAACGATGAGAATGATATGAAACCTTGCAAAGGCGCAAATTCAAGTCAAGACCTTTGCAATTACAATAAATTTCATATAAAAAAAACCGATTTTATCATATGACTATCCTGGAGACAAAATTTTTGTTATTCTCTTAATAATATAAATATACTTTTTTCAATACTCACTCTTATGTCAAACATTCGAATGCTATTAGTTTCTGACTCTAAAATCGAAAAAATTTAGTTTTTTACACTTCTTGTGTAGTTTTTATATAATTGTGGGAATTAATATATATTGATTGTACTAATTACAATCGCCGGGTAGTTCCATTTATCATCTTAACTTTGCAAAAGTTAATAATTATGCTGAATAGTAGAAGCTACACAGAAAAAAAAATTAACTTGATTCAAGACAAAAATTCTTGAACCAAGAATATAATTTTGAAGAGAGTAATTGTCTTGAATCAAGACGAAAAATTCTTGAATTAAGTAAAATTTCCTTAAATCAAGAAAAATTTTCTTAAATCAAGAATTTTTCTACTCAAACCAAGAATATTGAGCTCTTCAAAAATATATACTTGATTCAAGAACATTGTTTTTTTCTGTGTACAAAATAAGGATGGTTACCATTAACATAAAATTCTCTCCGTGTGGTAATCTGTAGCCTGCACCGAAATAATCGGTAAACTCTACCGAAAAAATCGGTATCTGCTACCGATTTTTTTCGGTAGCAGCTACCGATTATTTTTTTCCGTGTATATTACGATTCTCACAAAAAAAGGGTTTGTAGCTCTAAGGATTGCTTCATAAATTTAACAGTTTTTGTCTTGCTTGTTTTTTTTTAATTCTCTACGTCCATTTTTTACTGAGATATAGCTTGTCAAAAATTACGGAAAAATTTTTTTTGATACTTAATTATTGGGCGAATCGCAATGAAATTGTTAAGCCATTAGCCTAGATAATGTAATTAACCGGGTCAATCAGCTAAGCCGGTCGGTTAGCTAGTTAATAAATGAGGCTTACTTTTTTAACTGAATTAACTGGCTAAAAAGTAAAGCCTTCATAAATACATTGAGAAAAAAAAAGAATTAATTGATTAAGAAAGAAGTTAATGATTAAGTGAATGATTGAAAATGACAAAAGGATTCCTCACGGGACGAGGAACGAGATGGTAATTACTCATGTGTTGACGGCGATACATCACTGTAAAGCCGTTCAAAGCACAACCCTTAACGGTATGGAAGTTGCATTACTTCTTCCCCGGTAAAGGCCCATCTCCCCGAGGCTGTTGAGTTCAATTCGTTAGAGTACTCCATTTACTCGTAATTGAAGACGTCAATCGCATCGTCGAGTCTTTACAGGTTTCCAATCATGACTTGTTGGACCGCCTTGAGAGTCCCCGTTGTCGTTTCTTATATATTGAAACTATTCTATGCATAACCACATGCGAGAAAGCTCGAGCGTGGCGCCATCTGTTCTTGTCAATGGTCAATACAATAACCATTAGATTATCTATGACGTAAACAAGATTATATTTGACCATTAACTAAGTTATTGTAATCAATAGATATAACAATTTTTATGATAGCAAACAATGATATTTCTTTGAATTTTTTACAAATTTAATATTAATCTGTAGCTGACTTATTTTTAAAAGTATAAAGTTCACAACTAAAAAAAATCTAGTTTTGTCAAAAATTTTATTCAACACTCCTAACAATTTTTTTATTTTTTCCATAATAAAAAACGTTTTATTTAGCAATGTACGATAATCTATGACCATCATAATCTAGCGAATAATAATGATAATAACTTACTTGAATAGCATTAATTTTTTTATCTGGTAAAGGTGGATTGAACAATTTTTCATAATCAGCTTTTAAAACTCCTAAAGACGGAGTTACAATAATATGATCAGCTAAATATTTTTTACCCTCTTCAGTAGTTATTTCAACTGGCGTATCTGATGAATCATAATTAATTTTAACGACTTTTGAATTTAAAATCGTATTATTTAAAACTGGTAGTTCTTCTGCCGGATTCGGATATTTCTTCTATAAAACAAATTTATAAACATAAATTATCGCTGATCTTATTTCAATTAAAAATAATGTTATACATTTTTATCTACAATTAAAAAAATAAAAACATTTCCTTTTGAGTCATATTTAAAGATTACCGCCCCAAGTGTCAACTTAAGAACTTATAAGATATATTAATATATTTAAAATGTAAGAAGGTAAATGTAAGGTAAATGCACCAATTATTGACCGATTAAGGTTTTCTTTTTCTGTACTAAGCTATAAAAAATCTATTGACCTTCTAAAAACAATTTGTAATGGATTTTATTAAAGTTAAATACTTAATTAATAATAATTAATAACTATTTATAATAAAAATTAACAAAATTATGTTAATTTTGTTATTTGAATCTTGAAATACTAAAATCACCAATTATTGACCGAAGAAACCCAATAAATGACCGACCGTTATCCAATTAATTGACCGCTCAAATAATTATAAGTAATTTTGTAAACCACATGTATGTAATTAAATTTATGGAGTACTTTTAATTTAATTTTTCCAAAGCTTCATTTATTTTTGATTGTTTTTCACATAAAATATGTCTGACCTTATGTTAAAAAAAATTTTTTTTTATTATTAAAAATTTTATGTGACATTAAAGTTAGGGTAAATGCACCAATTATTGACTGATTAAGGTTTTCTTTTTCTGTACTAAGCTATAAAAAATCTGTTAACCTACTAAAAACAATTTGTGATGGATTTTATTAAAGTTAAATACTTATTTAATAATAATTAATAACTATTTATAATAAAAATTGACAAAATTATATTAATTTTGTTATTTGAATGTTGAAATACTAAAATCACCAATTATTGATCGAAGAAACCCAATAAATGACCGACTGTTCTCCAATTAATTGACCGCTCAAATAATTATAAGTAATTTTGTTAACTACATGTATGTAATTAAATTTATGCAGTACTTTTCAAGTATTTACGACATCTTTAACAAAACTAAACATACAATATAATTTTAAGTCGTACTTTTTTATAAAATAATATAAATTATAGCAATAATTAACATAAAGTCACATTTGTTTAGGTCAGAAATAATCACAAATTCATTTTGATGATGATAATTCTTCTGATTCACTTGAAATTTTTTTATTCTTCTCTTTCTTTTTTTCAATTAAAGCTTTTTTATTAGCTTGTAACTCTTTTTTATTTTTTTAATTGATTATCAATTTTTTCTTCTAATAATTCGTTTTTTGATATAACCGTTCACTAAAAAATTAAAACAAAATAAAATTTAATAATTAAAAAAGATTTTAAGTATTATTTTAATTGTAAATATACATTTTATAATGATTATTTTTATATTTACAAAATATTTAATGACTAAAGTACTTTAAACACTTGACAGATTTAATTTTGAAGTTGAGAAGTTAGTATTATAAATATACGGTCATTAATTGGATTATTGTGATAAAATCAGAGGGTCTAATAAATGACCGAATGAATTTTTTACTGGGTAAAGGGCTTCTGACGGATCCAATAGTTGACCGGTCTTAAAATAATATTAAAACTTATAATTTAACTTTATTTTTTCAAAAAAGTTGGAATCTGATCTTTAATTAACATAATAAAACTAAAATATTTTATATTATGCCGATAAATATCACTAAATTAATGATGAAATGCACTCACTCTCCAATTGTACGCTAGTTATTTTTGACCGCTTTATGGCTGGTTGCGTTGTAAACAAACTCAGAATATTTTTTTAAAGCTATAATCACTGCGCAATTAATTGCGTAATTTTTTATTATGATGATTAAATATCATATTTTTTTATTTTAATACTTTAAGAAAAAAAAACCCTTGTAAAATATTAATTAATTAACTTTTTGATACATCGGTCAACTAATTGGTGACCGGCCAACAACTGGTTCATTTACCCTATATTAACAAACCAAAACTATAATTTACCATCAATATATCCAATATTGTAGTATAAGTGCGTTCTTTCCAATTAATCGACAAATCGCCTTTACAAACTGGATAATCTCTTGGCATTTTAGGTGAAAGTTTCGTCCAATCATCGGAGCCATCAGAAGATCCTTGTACCAAGTTAAAAAGATACAAGATCGACTTCTTCATATCATCTGTAACTTCTGGCAATCTTTTAAAGTATTCTTCCATTCTAAAAAAATATAATCAAAATATAATTAGAAAAACGTATTCTTGTAAGCTAAGACACATGTCACACTTCTCGGTCCTATTCGTTTTGTCTTTAAGAAGGTTGTAAATTAGTTTATAGAGACCATTTAACATGGTCAGAAGCTGAATGGGTGAATGACACAATAAAATATTTCGAATTTAAGTTTATGACAAAGTATTGTTGTAGCTTTGCATTCTTAGATGAGAAGACTCTGAAATAATACTGAAAAATAGAAAATTAATAAAAAAAAAACCATCACCGTAATCAATAAAAACATTCTATGATCTTGAAAAATTTTATGATGGTCTAGATCAAGTTTTGTGAAAAAAGAAAAATAAATCAATTTTCATGTTAATCTATTGAAAAGTTTTAGTAGCGCACGTGTTAATTTTTAGTTTGGGCACTAATTTATTTTACTATGTTACATTTTTTTGTCATATTTTTTAGCATACTGCAAAGTAAAAAATCAATTGAAAATTTTCACAGTGTAATATGAAAAGAAGAAAAAAACATACTTTTCTATTATGAAATCTCCATAAGACTCAGCTTTTGCAATATCATTAACATCAGAATTTTCCGTTAGATTAAAATAAAAATAAGTCACATCGCTGAGTACTTCTGGAAGCAATTGTTCACCAGAAGAATTAAAGAATCTTGTGGTAAAAACATGGCTGTAATTAAAGTGTTCAAGGAGTCCTAAAGGCCAAGCTAGTTCGAAGGAGACGTTATCTTCTTCACCGTGTACCCATTGGCCTCCCATGTCCATCATATAATCGCCTATGAAAGAAATATACTCAATAATTAGTAACTAGCAGGATCTGTGCTCAGAATTTTTTTAATTTTTTTACTCAACCCAAAAAAGTTATAAATTTAGAAAAAAATGATTTTTATTTCAAATAACAATAACTTTTTCAAAATTCAACTTATTGGATGTGCTTTTTGAAAAGAAATACAAAAAAATTATTCAAATCTATCTTTATCGTTATTTTTTATTTTTGGAAGAAATCAAAAGTTTCTCAATGATTGCCATCTTTGAATTTTTTATAAATTATATTAAACGTCGACATTTTCTGCGAGTCGTCAAACTTTTTCAGAGTAATATTTTTCCATTTCTTCACAGAAAAAAAATTTACTTTAATCAAGTAGATAAATTAGAAGAATTTCATCTTTTTGATTTGAGTAGAAAAATTTTTAAATTAAGAAATTTTTATTGATTTGAGTAAATTTTACTTAATTCAAGAATTTTTCGTTTTGACTCTAAACAATAAAACTCTTCAAAATTATTTTCTTAGTTCAAGAATTTTTGTTGAATCAAGTTAATTTTTTTTTCAGTGTAGCGTAAATGCACCAGTTGTTGACCGGTCACCAATTAGTTGACCGATGTATAAAAAAGTTAATTAATTAATATTTTACAAGGGTTTTTTTTTTCTTAAAGTATTAAAATAAAAATATATGGCATTTAATCATCATAATAAAAAATTACGCAATTAATTGCGCAGTGATTATAGCTTTAAAAAAATATTCTGAGTTTGTTTACAACGCAACCAGCCATAAAGCGGTCAAAAATAACTAGCGTACAATTGGAGATTGAGTGCATTTCATCATTAATTTAGTGATATTTATCGGCATAATATAAAATATTTTAGTTTTATTATGTTAATTAAAGATCAGATTCCAACTTTTTTGAAAAAATAAAGTTAAATTATAAGTTTTAATATTATTTTAAGACCGGTCAACTATTGGATCCATCAGAAGCCCTTTACCCAGTAAAAAATTCATTCGGTCATTTATTAGACCCTCTGATTTTATCACAATAATCCAATTAATGACCGTATATTTATAATACTAACTTCTCAACTTCAAAATTAAATCTGTCAAGTGTTTAAAGTACTTTAGTCATTAAATATTTTGTAAATATAAAAATAATCATTATAAAATGTATATTTACAATTAAAATAATACTTAAAATCTTTTTTGATTATTAAATTTTATTTTGTTCTAATTTTTTAGTGAACGGTTATATCAAAAGAACGAATTATTAGAAGAAAAAATTGATAATCAATTAAAAAAATAAAAAAGAGTTACAAGCCAGTAAAAAAGCTTTAATTGAAAAAAAAAAGGAGAAGAATAAAAAAATTTAAATGTGACTTATTATGTAAATTATTGCTATTTATATTATTTTATTAAAAAGTACGATTTAAAATTATATTGTGTGTTTAGTTTTGTTAAAGAAGTCGTTAATACTTTAAAAGTACTGCATAAATTTAATTACATACATGTAGTTTACAAAATTACTTATAATTATTTGAGCGGTCAATTAATTGGAGAACGGTCGGTCATTTATTGGGTTTCTTCGGTCAATAATTGGTGATTTTAGTATTTCAAGATTCAAATAACAAAATTAATATAATTTTGTTAATTTTTATTATAAATAGTTATTAATTATTATTAATTAAGTATTTAACTTTAATAAAATCCATTATAAATTGGTTTTAGTAGGTTAATAGATTTTTTATAGCTTAGTACAGAAAAAGAAAACCTTAATCGGTCAATAATTGGTGCATTTACCCTATTTAATTTTTTTCAATTGAAAAATTAATAATTTTTTTTTTTAATTTTAGCTTATTTCTCTGAACGCAACTCTAAAAACTCCTCAGGATCTTTGGAGAACCTAAATAATTTATTATTGTCCTTATATTTATTATTGCCATCAAGTAGCAAAATTATCTTATGATTTGTTATCGTATACTTCTATACATAATTTTTAAATTTAATATTTTGCAAAAACAAAAGTAATAATAAATTAACTAATTAACAATCTGACCAATAAGTTTGTGGTTTCTTCTTAAAAAGGGATGCAAACATCCCGAGCTTATCGTATTGATATTTGATGATGATGAATGAAGAAATAAAAAATACAATAATTAATAAACGATCTCACCGATTTTGACTGCCCAAAGCCGACCACCAATTCGATTCTCAGCTTCAATAATTTTGACATCATTAAAGCCATTTTGAAGCAATTTTGACGCAGCCGCTATACCTGCTGCTCCTGACCCAACAATAATTACTCTTGTATCATGAACTGGTTCTGCCAATACAATGTTGTTTATTGTTGTGGTTATAACAAACAAAAACAAAATAAGCTTTGGCATATTCTTTGCTCAAATTCACATTCACAAGTTTGAAAAAATTTATTATGAATTTACACTTTAAACAATATTAATCAGTCTGCAAGAAAGACTAGTCGTCGCTTGCTACGATTTATCAACTTTATAATCTCAATTTGACCATGACTACTTGTTATTAGATGAATTGTGAAGTAACTTTGATATGATACTCTTTACTCTCTATGCACTTAGATAATATGTTTCGTTCTATAATGTCAATAGTTTAAGGTCACGCTCAGCGAGTCTCTTATTTTTTAAATAATAAATTACACTGGTAATTTGTTGATAATGGTTTTTCCTATTTGACGTCCAAAGTTTTGCAATGTTATGCTGATCAAGCGATATTCCATCTATTTGTTGATTTCAGTTAATCTGATTACAAGGTTCTTAAAATTATTACTTGCAAAGAAGAAATGATTTTATTAAATTACGACCTTATATACATTCTTATAATTTATAAAATTAAAAAAAAAAGTAATAGTCTTGAAGAATATTAAATATTAATTAATAAAGAAAAAAAGTTTACTCGAATCTATTGAGACGTAAACAAAAAATTCGTTAACTATTTTGGAGACAAACGCTCGAATAAAAAGCTCATTTTTAATTATTTTTTTTATCTATTTACATTATATTTTTTTTTTTGTAAATGAATAAAAGATGAAAAATCAACAGTATTAGATACTTGCAATTTATTTAATGATTATTAATTTTGCAATAATGGATGTGAATAATTGGTACATGAAATTCAAGCTGGGTGATGTTGACAGTAAATTTAGACAGTGCGGTAACTTTTTGTTTTTATTTTAATCATAAAGATTTATTTAAAAAATATTAAAAATATTTTGAATAATAAGTAATAAATAAATATATATTTTTAATACTTGAGTTGTATTTAGTTCAGCAAATAAATGACTTTGGGTTATTGAGGGTGTCAATAATTGGTAGAACGTTATGACACTAATTAAATCAGTTGATTTTGTCGGACTGTCAGTAATTAGTGGGTCCGGGTGATTGACTTTGTCAGTTAAAATAAATAATTTAATTTGAGAAAGTACTTTAAAAAAACATGAATTTTCTAGTCAAAAGACTAATCAAAACAATGTTCAAAAAATTCAACAACTTTCTTTTAAATATGGAAAAAAATATTAATTTTAGCCATGTTTCTTACAATATCAATAATTTGTGCATTTACTTTAGTAATCATAGAAAATTTTTCTATTTCTTCTTGAAATATTTTTATAAATTTCATCAAAAATTAGTAATACAATTTTTAATTCCAGGAATTCAAAGGCCTAAAACAGTACCCAGAGTGCCATTAGTTTTAAAGCCACTGATGAGTGAGACTATTTGTTCGACTAATCCACCAATCAAGAAATTAAACTCCACAAACAGCACTAGTTAAAAGAAGAAAGTAAATGAACGAAGTTATGGGAGTATTGTAATGCTGACATTTACAAAAAATGGTGAAGATATATCCAGGAAGATTTATCAAATATTCCGGGAGCAAAATCCTAAAATCGGTGTTTTGATTTTACAAGAGCAAGAAAAATTTGTTTACTCACTCGTAGAAGAATTCGTCGACGATTGCTTCAAGCAAGCTAATTATATTATTCCAATTTTAACCACTGGTTATATTAATCATATCAACAATTTGACCAATAATGATGATGAAGAAAGTTTGGTCAATAATTTGGACCATAAATATGTTAAATATTTATACTCGTTGATGCGTTTAGAGTATTGTAAAAATAATTGTCACAACAATCGCATCAGGTAATTAGTATCTTTTAATTATCCTTAATTAATCCATTTATTATTATTAACGATAAAAAAAAACATTAATTAAAAAAGAATTTAACAATTTTAATTCTAAATATGTCTAATAGGTGATAAATAAAAATATTTTGATGAATTAACATAAATTTTATGTATTTCATTTTATCAAGTACAAATTATTTACAGTATATATATTTATATATATAGTAAACATCCATTCATTAAACATTAGTTTATAAAATCTGTTGTATAATTTCGTTGTAAAAAAATTTCGTTTTCAGTCTTAATAAAAAAGAAAATATAAAAAAGTTTTCAATTAATTAAATTAATTGATCGATAAAAAAATAATTTTGTTCTTCCCAACGGGCATATCGATGTGTAAAAAAAAATTTTAAATAAAAATTCCATGATTATAACCGCACACAATCAAATTGTCAAAGCCAGCACAAAAGCCTATATTCTTATTTTATATTTTATATTTTTATATACTAAAACTCTAACTACAATTATCAATATTTTGTTTTTTTGCAATTAGATTATATACAATATGAATTTTTTGTAGTAGTATGACTGGTTGGAAAAAAACAGTGGAAAGTTGTAGTGAGTAATCAAATCACTTGGCACAAAAATATACAATGGAAGATCTCTTCTTGAACACCATGGTATGAGAGCAATGTATATGGAACAATAAAAAATTGTTGTATTTAAGATTTTTCAGTGCCATATCAGATAATTTTTTATGATCGCACAGATGGTAATAAACAATAATACCATAATTAACATAAAAAAAACTGTTATTGTTTTTTAATTGTTCAAGTAGTTTTCATCCTAAAAGATAAAATTTCAAGTTAAGGTAGTTCACTCATAAATGCAAAATTTTAAGAAGTTTTCGAGATTTGAAATATGTGCTGTTGAAATTTGAAATCAATTGACTGTACCGAAAATGAGATAATTGTAATTAAAAATGACATTTTAACACAGGCAGTATGGATGGAGAATGAGAAAATCACAAATATTTATGATTATTGCATTAAAAAGATTTTACGATCGTTTCAAAAAACTGACACCTGTTAGAATAATATACTTTAAATAACCCAAAGAAATTTTGAAAATATTGACCGTGCAATTTTTTATAAATTATTAAGGTAGTTCCAGTATGAAATCACTTTTCGACAAATTCGGCTGAAATTTTTTTTGCGGGTTCAAAATTGCTTTATTTATAAACTCCTGAAATTTCATAATTTTTGACCATTTAGATCGCGAAATATTTAAAGTCAAAGTTGGTGATTTTGAGGGTCATGTTCCATTTAAAGTATGTAAAATGTCCGGTCTCTCCAACTATTTTTTATTATATTAAAAAATTCTCTCGACAGAATTGGAAAAAAAATTAGGAGAGTGTTAAAAAATGTTTCTAGAATAAGTTAAAAAAGTAAAAATAGCACCTCACCGTTTTGTTATCGAGATATAATTAAAAAAAATAAATTTCGATCCATTTCTAATCTGCTCACTTAACAACTTATAGTGATTTGGCAACGCCGTGCGCAACGCTCCCTGAAATAGTGTAGCATAAAAAGCGGGAAATTCAAATCTTCGAGGGTTCTAAAGAGCAACGTTGCCAGATCACAAGACTAACAATATGTAATTGTATGTGTGAACGTCTGTGTGCCGAGGCTTTTAAATTTTTGTCCATAGTAAATACTCTGACTATACACGGAAAAAAGAAAACTCGAAAAATTACAGTATAAAATGTAAAATCGGTCCCGTCGTAATCAAAACTAGAAAAATTACAGTTTGAAATAACATTTTTCTAAATTCAATTATTTAATTTAATATTCAGAGCTTTCAATGCAAATATTACATTTTACAATGTAATTTTTATACAATCTGTAATAATTACATTTTAAACTGTAAATTTTCCAGTTTTCATCACGAAGCGCTACGTTGCATTATATATTGTAATTTTTCAAGTTTTCTTTTTTCCGTGTACTATACCACGCTGGAACTACGTTAATAAACTGGCTAGTTAAACAAAAATAACCATTAGTAGAAGCGAATAAGAGATAATCTGTGAGAAAGGCAACACTAGCGAGTGAAAAGAAAAGAAATAGCACCAACTACATGTCGTGAGTGAACTACCTTAAGCATTATTGTTTCTGTAATTTCACAAAATTATCAACGGATGGTTAAAAATTTTATTATAACCACCCAGTTAGCACAAGCGAAACGAAGTTCACGTAAACCTGCGGCCGGAATTTGACGTAAAGTTTACGCTAACAGTAGAGCAACAGTTATACTTACAACAGTTGACGTGAAGTTAACGTTAACTTTCTGCAACTTTGCGTTAACATTGAGCGAACCTTTCGGAAAATTCCGGCAATAGATTTACGCTAACTTGATGTGTAAGTTAAAGTCAAGTTCTGGGAAACTGTTGCAAATGCAGAAGTTGACGCGAAGTTAACATAAAGTTGACGTAAAACTATTGAACATCAACTAGTTGATGGTCAACCTGTGCTAACTGGGCAGATAGCCATCTGAACTAAAACTTGCCGTCGATCTCTTCCGGAATCGGCAACAAAAACGGAAAGAGTTGAAAAAGCTAAAATTTCAGTTAAGTTGACCGTAGGTTGCTCTGCAATTTAAAATCAAGACTTAAGTGCAAGTTCTTTCAGTAAAGTTGTAGTAAAAGGCTTTTGGCTTTAGATCACAAAATCTTGAAGTTTCTTAAGCAAAAAGAGCGTATAATTTGGAACATACGTCCTTTTAGCTTACAAAAATTTTTTTTGAATTTTAAGTTTAGAATACTTTTGCAAAGTGATTGGCAAAAAAAATTTTTTTAAACGCCCTTCTGGCTTTTATCACTTTTGCTAAAGTTCACAATAATAATTTGTACAGTTTTCTTTAGTCAACTTGTATTAAAATTGCGAAGAAATACGGTCAACTCCACCACAACCTTGGCCTCTCCAACTTTTTTCAAATTTACAAATTCCGGTTCTAGATTTTACACAAGTTTCTATCAACAGTGGCTATCTGGATATATATCAGTTACACTATAGCCTACGAATCCTCAGTATTTCTTCTTTACAGCCTGATCTAATAATATTCTAACTTTATATAATATATGATCATATATATTTAATATCTATTATGATTTTGTTGTATATTTACGCATAACCACAGTTTATAAAATTTAAATCTCAAAAGTCGTATATAACCCTACGGTTATATCAAAACAGATTATTATCTTAACACCTATACAGTCATTTTTAATGAAACTTCTATCTATTTACGTATGACCACTAAATCTATTAAAATTTGAATCTTTTTTCTGAAGAAAAGCCCATATCTGATCCCATAAATTCTTTCTTCCCGGATTATACAATCGTATATGACTAAATAAAATCATTGCCTTCAAATTCCTCAAAGAAGACAACACTAACCTCAAAATGCACATTTCTTAGCCTTAACCCTACAATTCACATATCGCGAGCCAAAAGGTAAAAGGGCGTGTGTCTCTAATTGTGCACTCTTTTAATTTAAGGAATTTGTAAATTTTATGACCTCAAGCTAAAAGAGCCGATACATTTTTTTTCTGAGCAATTTACTAAAATGCTTATCTTAAGCCTAAAAATTAAAAAAAAAAAAATCGTGCAGTCAAAGGAGCGTATTCTAACGGTATGCTCTTTCAAAATTAACTAGAAATTAAAATAGCGCGGGAGGGTACTGGGGAACCAGCTCGTATTATGTAGACCGCGAATATCGTCGTGTAGATGTGAAGGAGTGTTCTATTGTATTGTTTATATTGTTTACTGTTAACTGTTGTTAAATTATTGATCAAGTCAATAAAGAGATTTTATTTTCTTTGATTTCTTAATTAAAAATGAAGTGTTTATTTATGTTTTAGCGTTTCGAGGTAATCCCCGGTATTTGGTAATCAATTGAAATGAAATTAAATACTTTATAATCAATAAATAAGTATTTGTCAAAAAGTTTGAACATCAAAAATTAATAATCAATAATTTTTGTCAGAAAAACCATGTTAATAATCGCAATAATACTCTGGTCAACAATTGGTGTTGTAAATTGTCATTGGACAATTAGGTACATTGGTACCTAATATTAGTATGACTTCGGCTATTGATTTCAATATGAGTACTGAAGATACTATTGTAACAGAATACAGAACAACTAACAACAATACTGAAGTAATTAACACGTCAGTGAATAGATTACCTAATGTTGAAACTATTATAAGGTAAGAGCCCCCATTATTGACACTATAAGAGTGACGGCGAACATTTGAATTTTTTAACCGTATTCAAATTAATCTGACTAATTTTTTTTTGTATTAGACACTTTTTTTGATTCATCAACTTGTGTATTTTAATTTTTATACTTAAATAGTCGCTAATTAAATGACAAATATATTAATTTGAAATCAGCAACTCAAGTGTAGGTATTTTTGACAGGGTGAAATGGTATCGGAGCCAACTATTGACACCCATAGACCCTATTATTGACAGGTGTCAACCCTATTATTCAGGTTTAATTGAAATTTAAATTTCGAATATAATTTATTATTTACAAGTAAACAACAATATTTTGCTCAGACAATTCTTTTTTTATTATAAAATAACGCGAGACAACATGTAAACAAATCCACTATGTATGTTAAAAAGGTTAAGTTTCTCAAAAATGGTAGGCTGTCGCTAGTTAAACACATGTTAATTTTTATGTACCTAATATTGACACCTGCTATTTTTAAATCATAATTAAAATTTATCAGCTTAAAATAATAAATCTAAGATTATTTAGAGTTTAAAAACCTCAAATAATTTTGGATGATAGGCTTATATCAGAATTTTATAGAAAAATTTGCTATTTAAAATACACTCTCTTAGCGAAATTGTTAAGAAATTTTAAATAAACTAACCGTAGTGGTCTACTCGGAAAAATAAAATTTTTTTACAGTTTATAATTTAATATCCAGGCATAAAATTTTACTTTTTTCTTACTAAAAAAATTTCTAAAAATTGATAAAAAGCAATGTTTATTGTGATTTAATCATAAAATTGATTAAATAATCAATAAAATAAAACAACATGTCAATAATAGTGACTTTTACCTTATTCATTTTATCTAAACTGGTCAATATTTGGAGCCTTAACCCCAGACTGTTTTTTGGATCTAACTTGTCTTGTGATACTATTTGTCACTATTTTATATCAAAACTTAAATTCTTTTATCCGCTCTTTTAGGCAATACTTTACTAAAAGCTAAAAAGGCGCATGAGACGCCTTTTTAGCTTTAGTATGCTTGAATATTATTTTTACAGATCTTTGTGTTTTGAATGATTTTAAGAGAAATGACAAAAGTAATTTTTTTTTGTGCGCCTTTTTACTATGGATCGTAACCTGTAGCAACACGCCCTTTTATTTTTTCACACGCGATATAATAAACCTCCTTATAGCCAATTTATTCACCAAAATTCTTTTCTTCTCTACAAATACAATTAACCATGACTATATACCCATACGAACCTAACTTATCAACATTAAACCCTATACACGATCATAACAGATAATACTATCCTCCAAGAACTGTTTTGTACAATTTTATTCCCATGATTTTATTAAAAAAATCTCAAACCTTAATAGGAACTATTTTAAATTTCTTCGCCTTAAAAATAATAAAAATGAATAACTTATCGCTACTAATACTTATTTATCACTTATCAATAAACTACCTAAACCTAAACACTAGTCTCCTTCTTAATCGGATTGTCCAGCAGCATTTCTTCATCAAGCGCGGCGTCATCCGTGTAATGCACAGTGCTATAATTAGTATCTTCATAATCAACCCCAATGCTCGCATTCATATCAAGATGTCTTGTGGCTCCTAACGTAACATCAATAGTCGCTAAATCCGTCAGCGAGCTGAAATCTTTCCCAAAACCCGTCGGAATTCTTACATCAGTCAGTGAGCCACTAAACAATTCCTTGAAGCTTCCATCAGCGTCAGAATGCCGAGAATTCTGCCTCGGTCTCGACCTGGAAGAGCTTCCACTAACAGATGTCGCTTCATGCTTCTCCCCAATTCTTCCACACTCAAAATCCAGATCATACAGACTAGACCTTCTTTTACAAGGTTCATCTTGAAGTCCAACACCTCGATCTTGATCCTGAGAATTAACATCGCTAGAGCATTGGAAGTCTTTCTCAGAGACCTTTTCCGGAGTTTCTGGAGTCTCACCTATCTCCGGAAGGTTATGATCACTTCGCTCGCTGGTCAACGCAGCAGTCAAATCAGCTTCTGAGCTGTACTCTAAACTACACTGCTGGGACACATTGCGCAGATGTTTTTCTTCTTCAGACTCCGGAGGACTCAGTGCGGCTTCAATCCTTTCAATCCTCCGGTGGTCATTGTTGACCTTCTTGCTTCCCTGACGGACTATCTCTTGTCCAATGACATACCTCATCCCCTCCGATATGCTTCCGCTATCAGACAACATGTTAACATTCTTCGCATCAGCAACAGGATTCAATTCCACATGAATATTCGTATTATTAACCTTCGCACCACTTCCAAAAATAGTTTCAATCCGCTCGCGTCCATCTCCGAAAACAGCTGGCCGAGGAATGGAGATACAGCTCCCTCCATCACTAGTGGCGCCACCATCGCCCTGCTTCCGAGGTCCTAAGTTATTGTGCTTGTGGCGGCGCTGTTTCTTGAAGAATTTTCTCGCAACGCCGCTCTGGTGGGGATTGTAGAACATCTCAACATTGACTGGCGCAGACTCTGTGTAGGTTTTAACGGAATTATTCGAACGATACTGCTGACGATGAAGAACCACAAGATTCACGTTAGTCTTCTTGCTAGGCGACTCTCGTTCTGGGGCTTTTATCGCGTGAGCTAACGCTATAGGCGAGACATTAGTGTGCCGAGAACTGACGGAATTAGAATCCGATAAATGAGTCGGGTGATTGATGATTGGTAAGTTAGGAACTAGCGACTGGGCAGGAAGAGCTGGACGCGCGTCACAGACACTGCGAGTCCGACAGCAGTTATTTTTCTTCCGCCTTAGCCAGCATCTCATCAGCGTCCATTGAGATCTTACGTCACTGCGTGCTAGTCCGTAGAACAGAAAGACAAAACAGCCGAGAGTTGAAGAAGAAAGAGCGTAGCAGATGGAAAAAACTGGCTCGGCGTAAGGATAAGGAAGAAAGACTGGAGAAACTGTTGTAGCAGCAGCGGATGTCCAGGTAACTATGAACAGAACCAGGACGATCAAGTGTCCTTTAAGTTGGGTCATCTGCGAATGCTCCAGATCTTCAATTTCAGAAGACACGGTAACACTCATGCTGGCTTGGTCTCGGTTCTCATGAGGCTCCAGGAGTTCCAGGTCCATGTTCTCCGTCGCTTGGGTTCCTTCGCTCAACTGACCGTTGTGGTCGACGTTCCTGATGGTACAACGCACTAATAAGTAGAAAATAGATAAGTAGACTATCAGCATGATTGCTGGAACAAAGAGTGCTGTGAGTGCTGGGGCTTTGGTGAGGAAGCAGTAAGAGTATCCAGCGTACTCGCGCAAGTTCACTGCTCCGCTGATGCCACATATTATCAGAGCAATCCCCCAACCGACAAGATAAAGACCTAGAAGAGGCTTTTGGATCGGTTGCTCGGGAATCTCATCATCAGAAACGAGCTCCTGGCTGTTCTTGGCAAGTCTCTTGTACATGTTGCTCGCACTAACTGCCATCCAGAGCAGAGAACACAAAGACAAGTAGTGGAGAATCAAGCCGACACTCTGGCAGATTTCAATGTTCTCTGTTTGCTGGATTCCAATCGTATAAAGGAAGCTCAGAAGTGTGATGGAGATCCAGGTGTTGATCACGCTGTGCTTTACACGCTTTGGCATCGAAATCGATGCGTAGCAGATTATGTAAGTCACTGATGTGATGGTCAGACTGATGATTAGCACTGACGTTCCTATGTAGACTAGCGGGTGTGAGTACCGGAAGAGAGCGCCAGTTTTATTTACCGTGCGGTATGATAAGTCTTCAAGCAGGCCGTAGTAGCCCAAGCGATTGCACTGGAAGATAACAAGGTTGTTGATGAAATTTGCTAACTGACACCCTTCGCGCGTCCACCGAGATCCATTGATCGAGATTTCAGAGTTCCAGATCACTGGAATCGGGTGCGAGTAGGAAGATTTCAGCATCACGATCACTGGTTCTGTTAGATTGACTTCCCGGTCAATTACTCGGCTGCCGATTACTGCTGAGTTAACTGCCCGGGTAGCAGGTGATGGAAAAAGACGGCTGTCACTGTACATGCTGACCATCAGCGACATGTCTTGCTCATTTTGCTGCTGAGCTAGAAGCGAAGAAGGCAGTCGGATTGATGCTTCGATTACTTTATCCTTGATATTTAGAATTGCAGTTCGATTGCTGGTAGCGCAATGCAGGAATCGGGTGTCCAAGTCTTCTGGAAGGACACTGGAGTACCAAGTGCATGAGAGTCCAACAAAGCTCTCGGAGTTGACTCGGAACTCTTCTAAAGCTAGAGTCTTTTCATGGATCTGCAAAGCTGACGTCGCTTTGGTGACAGACTCTACAATTGAAATCAAACGACTTGCTGCTTTGTAATCGACTTCTGCGCGTTGGATCAAGTCCTTGGGGGACTTGAGCAAAGAAGTTATTGCTGCGATTATCAGCAGAGGAAGATCTTTGTCGTGGGTTAGGTAGTTGAGGTAATTTTCCAGGGTTTTGGCAATGAAGTCCAGGTCAATTGGATCAGATAGTTGATGAGGGTGGGTGTAGTTTGCGAATCTCTTGAAAGTCTCCATCAGATTGTCGGCCAAAGAAAGGTTCATGTTGGCGTACTGCTGGAGCGCGCGGGTCACGGGGGAGATGAAGGGACAGGACTCGGTATCCAGGTTGGTCCAGTGTCCGGTAGCGTTGCATTGGTAGGTAGCACGAGACAAGGATATCAGACTGGATAGACTGATCCCCTCGCAAGGCAATTCGACTTTCCAGCCAACGATTGTTCTGGGCCAGGCGTAAACGCCTTTGTTGGTTCGGGTGATTGCTAAGGGACAGTAGCGGGTGTCATTGGAGATTACTATTATGTTGATAGCCTTAGATTTGTTCCCATAGATTGACACCAGGAAGCAGTTCCACTGGCCGTTGTGCTCTTTGGTCACTGGGAAAATACTCAACGCGCTGTCAATTATCCCGCTGTCCGCCAAATAGCGATTGTCGACTTTTACGTTGGACAAGGTGTCCACCGGGTCTGCTAGAGGAGTTAGAGGAAGTAAGCTTGGGGTCCATTGCCAAAGGAGCTTTGCTGTCCGGTCGTCGGTTATGCTCGGCGCTGAACACTTTAGAGAAATGGAATCCCCGGAAAAGACTACTTGGTTTTGGGAAGGAGAGATCTCTAAAGTTGGAGAGATCCAGTCACATTGGAAGTCATTGGAGTATTTTAAATCTGGGATTTGCTTGCCGTGGACGTTGCCCGGTGAATTGCACGTTGGTACAGGACTGGAACAGATTGATGATTGTTTTTTAGATTAAGATCAGTTAAGATTTGGGAAGACAGAGGGGAGTACTTACTTTAATTTGAACATTGATGTGTTCTTCCAATTACTCAGCCAGTAGAGGTAGCAGTCACATTCCCATGGATTGTTGGACAAATCTCTGAAAGTTAATACAGGAAATAAATTTTAGTTTACTAAATAATTAAGAATGTTTCCAAAAAACAGTTCTTTAATTTTTTTTTAACAATATCTTCATTAGTCATTTATCAAATTCACATATTGTGATAAATAATTAATTTTAATGAATCATGAATTTCTTTAAAAAATGGAGAAACATTTTTTAAAAAAATTACACTTTTACTTACAATTGCCTCAATAATTTTAAACCGTAGAACGTTCCTTCTGTTAATGTCTTGAGCGCATTATTGTTCAGTTTTCTGAAAGTAAGAAAAAATAATCAACTGAACTTTACACATCAATATTAGAACTTTAAGAATCTAATTATTATTCCAATGAAAATAATAAAAAAGAAGCAAAAAATACTTACAAGCGTTCTAATGACGTTAGATCATGAAACAAAGTTGAGTCCAGCGAGCTCAGTTTATTAAATGACAAATCACTAAATAAAATAATACAAAAAAAAGTAACAAAAATTAATTGCAACAAAAAGAAAACATTTCATACTTAAAAGATCATTCTGGTTTGCAACTTTAAAAAAAAATTTGTTTACGTTTCTTGAAAGTACATATACATATGGGGCATTCCACGCCAAATCAACCACTTTTAACCCTGACCCCTTTTGATTTGGCTGAAAGTTTACCATCCTTTTCTACCCTATCAAAAACGTCTCTCATAATTTTTTCAAATTTTTTTACCCAACCAAAAAAAAGTTCCGAATTTTTCAAAAAAACCGCTTTTTTATTTTTAAATTGCCATAACTTTTTCAAAATTGGCTTATCGGGACGTTTTTTTTTTTCAAAATTTTTGTTATTAAATGTTCTTTTTGGAAAAAAATATAAAAAAATTATTCAAAGCTATCTTCATCGTTATTTTAAAAATTTTCAGAAAAAACTCCGAATTTTTTGATGAATACCATTTTTAGTTTGTTTTTTCTTTTTCCCATTCGATACTTTGACATTTTCTACAGATATCATGAAATTTTCAGAAAGGTGTTTTTCCGATTTCTATTTTTTCTTTTCAATTCAAAAAAAAAAATTTTTTTTTGTCGTATTTTTCATAACACCGGACCAAAAATTTCCGGGAATCCTCAAAAAAAAAGTAAAAAGTATAGAACCATCAGTTTAATATGTTAATCATCGAGAAAATCAATTTTTTTTAAAACAAAAGAAATTGAAAAACAACACAAAATATAGAACTAAAAGTTAACCAGATTAGCTTCTCAGAATTGCTTTTAAAATTTTTAATCCTTGTGAAGGCTCAAATCTATTTTCAAATTACTCTAGAAGTCGTCGAGAAATGATAGTTTGCGCCACCAATGAATCCTCCTCATAAAAAAAAAATTAATTAAGTGTCATCATTAGAAACAATGTTGTTAAAGAACATTTTTTTGCTTAGCTAAGGGAAATGTTTTTATTAGTTTAAGAATTATTGCATTTCAGACATTATAGTCATGTATTAAACCATTTGACAAAACTGTTTTAATTATAAAACTTAGAGTATCGGAGAATTGTTCATTTCAACGCCCACCATTCATTAAGCATTCAATAAAAAATACAATTGTTTTTCAATTTTTTCTTTGATTTGAAAAAAATTGATTTTCTCGATGTTAAACATGTTCAACTTTTGGTTCTATACTTTTTTCTTGTTTTTTGAGGATTCCCGTAAATTTTTGGACCGGTGTTATGAAAAATACGACAAAAGAAAAAATTTTTTTTTTTTCAATTGAAAAGAAAAAATAGAAATCGGAAAAACACCTTTCTGGAAATTTCATGATATCTGTAAAAAATGTCAAAGTTTAAAATGAGAAAAAGAAAAAAGAAACTAAAAATGGTATTCATCAAAAAATTCGGAGTTTTTTCTGAAAATTTTAAAAATAACGATGAAGATAGCTTTAAAGAATTTTTTTATATTTTTTTCCAAAAAGAACATTTAATAACAAAAATTTTGAAAAAAAAAAACGTCCCGAATAAGCCAATTTTTGAAAAAGTTATGGCAATTTAAAAATAAAAAAGCGGTTTTTTTAAAAAATTCGGAACTTTTTTTTGGTTGCGTAAAAAAATTTGAAAAAATTATGAAAGACGTTTTTGATCGGGTAGAAAAGGATGGTAAACTTTCAGCCAAATCAAAAGAGGTCAGGGTCAAAAGTGGTTGATTTAGCGTGGAATGCCCCATATGTATGTATGTATGTAAACTACTTATAACTTTTGAACGACTAGACCGATTGGAATCAAACTAGTGGTGTATTGAAGAGTTCCATCAAACAGATTTCCTGTTATTTTGAACCGATTCAGACCGGTAGATTTTGAGAAAGCTCTAAAAAAATATAAAAAGAATTTTTTTTCAAATGTGGTTATTTTGGAATATCTTTTTAACGGATTTACCGATCAATTTCAAAACTAATCAACTCTTAACTTCAAAAAACCACGTCGATCGCTTCCCATCCGTTCATAATCGGTTGATTTATTCGTGAGTTTTCGTTGGCGAAAGAAAACCAAAAAAAGTGTTTTTTCGAAATTACTCCGAAATTCCTCGTTCGATCGATTAAAACTTGAAAATTCTCTGAGGCTTACAAAAACTGTGTCGAATGCCGCCAACCGCGTGAAAATCAGTTAGTTCATTCAAAAGTTATTTCGGTTTGAAAATTCAAAAAATAGTGTTTTATTAAACTTTTATCAGACTTTTGAGCTCGAAGAGCTCAAAATCATAAAACAGCTATATCTTCGAGCTTGGAGAGCTCAAAATGACACAAAAATTATATTTTTGAGATCGAAGATCTCAAAAACGTAATAAGTGCGATTTTAAGCGCTTAAGAATGGAATTAGCGGGAAGTTGCAGGGATGGCCTTTAGGGTCAACTGTTTTCCTAATTATTCTAGTTCATTTAAGTCAATTCTAATTTAAAAAATTACATTTCTCTATCGTTCGTTGCAATGACGTTTTCTACGTCTTTATATATTTTTTCACATATTTCTACCTTGATTACAAGTGGTAACTAATTTGGCTCTGTCAGTCAATTTAACTTCTACTTTTAATTTGCCCTATCCGATCGAATACTTTCGAATCCGTTACAATTTACAACTAATTTTGGTTTTTGTGTTTTAGATGAGCCGTTATCAAGTTATCATATACGTCAGCGACATACCAACGTTTTAGAAAAGTTCCGTTCTTCCGTTGTTTATGCACATAAAAAGTTAAATAAAAAATAAATTTAGATATTTTTTGTGTTATTTAAGTGTTTTCGGTGAGCTAAATAAATTTTATATTAATATCTATAATAGTTTCTGTGTAAAAAAATCAGAATGATCCTTTAATTAATAAACTTAAACAACATGATTATGTCTTCTTTAACAACTTACAGTTTCTTCAAACTAGTCAGCGGTCGAAAAGCCAGCGCGTCAATAGAAGAAATTTCATTTTCACTCAAGTCCAAGCGTTCCAAATTTTCCAATCCATCGAACGAGCCCTCAATTAAATTTGATATTTTATTGGCTGACAGATCAAGACGCTTTAAATTTGTCAAATTTTGGAAGACTTTGGTGCTGATGAAGTGGATGTTATTCTTACTCAAGTCAAGGTGGTACAACTCAACGCTGACAACATCGATGTTAATGTCTTTAATGTCTTGGATATCGGCTCCTTTGTTACACTTGACTTTCAAACGCTCCGCTTGTGGTCCAACATGCTTGCAATCGCACGGAGCTGGACATGTGTGTCCATGTGTTGAGTCGATCAAAGCTCCAAGTGATAGACAAAGGATTAAAAAAATTATCCTCATTGTTGATAGCAATTTGAGTGACTAGTAGAGGGTGAGGGCCTCTCTCTATGAGTAAAAATAAATATAATTAACATTTATGTAATGAAGGAAGAAATTAGGCGTAATTTTGAACCAAGAAAATTATCCTGAAGAAAATTTGAATATCTTCAAAAATTATTTTGGTTTTCTAGGGTAAATACCCCAATAGATGGACACCCCCCAATAGATGGACAGATATTATTTCTAGAAGCAATTACATTAGTTTTAAGAACAAAAATCTTAAGTCGTTATATTTTTTTGTGTCTTCAAATAGTTCTGAGCGAGAAGTAATTTATTTTTAACTTTTTATTTGTAATAATAGTTTAAAAAAATTATTTAAATTGGATGTCTCGAGGTTTTGCTCCAAGAGCGCCGCCACTAGTAAGCGTGTGACAGATAGCTGGTGGACATTATTTATTATTATTATTAAAAATAATAAAAAAAGTAAGATTTGTACATATAATTACGCTTATATTTCACTAACAAAGCTAGAAATATAATATTTTAATGATAAAATCGAAAAGAAATAATAGAATTTAGTGTCCATCTATTGGTGAAACTTTTCTAACCTTTATCCAATAGATGGACATTGAATTTATATGATGAATTTTCTTATTTTTTTTTTTAATTTTGTTGGTGGATCAATATGAGAATAAGATTAAAGATTGTAGCAAACAGAGATGTACTGGAAATGAAAGTATATTATTATGATTATTGAAGAAATTGAAGAGAAAAAATAAAACGCTGAATAAAAGAGAAAATTGAGAAAAGGAAATTTAAAAGCAAAAGAGAACAGACCTATTAAAAGCAAGAAGAAGACAACATAACGTTTTTAACGTTGAGTTTTATAAATTTATATTGATAATTTATTAATCATTAGTATTCTTTATATTAATA